CAGACAACGTGTTAGCAACATCGGTTGTCGTCAACTCTACTGTTTTGCATGCAAAGGAACCCGAGAAACACGTCTTCCATATCGTCACAGATAAGTTGAACTTTGCTGCTATGAGAATGTGGTTTCTTGTTAATTCTCCTTCGAAAGCAACGATCCAAGTTCAAAATATCGATGATTTCAAGTGGTTGAATTCCTCTTATTGCTCTGTTCTACGACAACTTGAATCTGCAAGACTTAAAGAGTATTACTTCAAGGCAAATCATCCTTCTTCCCTCTCTGTTGGTATGGATAATCTGAAGTATAGGAACCCCAAGTATTTGTCCATGCTGAATCATCTTCGATTCTACCTCCCCGAAGTGTATCCGAAGTTGGACAAGATCCTATTTTTAGATGACGATATTGTAGTTCAAAAGGATTTAACGCCGTTGTGGTCCATCGATCTGAAAGGTATGGTGAATGGGGCAGTGGAGACCTGTAAAGAAAGCTTTCATCGGTTCGATAAATATCTCAACTTCTCAAATCCAAAGATCTCTGAGAATTTTGATCCAAATGCTTGCGGTTGGGCATTCGGCATGAATATTTTCGACTTGAAGGAATGGAGAAAACGAAACATGACTGGAATATACCATTATTGGCAAGATATGGTAACACTTGCCCCCTTGCTTTGATAGTCATTTCGTAGTTTTGAACATTTATCATACAACTTGTAAGTATATAGCTCATCTTTCTTTTAATGAAACACACTTAGATTACTAACTGAAGGAACTCTCGTGCAGAACGAGGACCGAACTCTATGGAAGCTCGGGTCGCTTCCACCAGGTCTGATCACATTTTACAATCTTACGTATCCGCTAGACAGAGGATGGCACGTGCTAGGTCTCGGATACGACCCTGCGCTGAACCTCACAGAAATAGAGAATGCTGCTGTTATCCATTACAATGGAAACTACAAGCCCTGGTTAGATTTAGCTGTTTCCAAGTACAAGTCATACTGGTCTAAGTATGTGATGCGTGGCAACCCTTATCTCCAGCTTTGTAACATCAGTGAATAGCCATATATTTTTTTTTCCCCTTCTCCCACTCAATTTTTTCAATAGAAACAATACGAAATAGATCAGTTTTGGTGTTCAAGTTCTAAAGAAACAGGAATTCGTCCACTGCAACAACGTCGTATAATGATGATCCTTTGACGGTCTTCTAGTGTCAAAGTTTAGAGAGGTTATTCATTCAATTAATTTCTTTTTTCTTTGTTGTGTTGTCTAGGAATACTTAAAGTTTCTGTTCTATTTGTTCTATCCGCTTGTCTTGCACGGAAAGCTTTAGGCAAGGTTTATCTTTGTCAACCAAACACAACTTGGTAGAATTTGAGCTTGTTCGGCCACACACGTCTCTTGTGTGTGTATGTTTAATTATCTGCAGCTCAATTTGACTTGTCTTTGCTCTAGGCCAGTCATTAGACTTGACCTTGCCTCTAATTAGGGTTAAAGTCTCTCACATGCAACGTTGCATCTCTATCATGTGATCATTTTTAGTTTTCAATTAACATGGCTCACATGTCTTGAAGTCATTCTAATTCTTGGGAAGTCATCGGCCATCACAATTCGCTTGGTCATGCTCGTTGATAATAGATCCATGTGTTGTTTCTCTTGTTCGTAAAAAATGTGTGACAATTTCGGAAATTGCGTATTCAATTCAATGATGCATTATTAAGTATCACATTACTCAATTTAATGTTAAATTTTTGATTTGAGTAATTCCATTTTAATTTTTAATGAATTTTAAATTTTCAATTAATTAATGAATAATTTATTATATTTATAATATATATAATAAGAATAAGACAAGCGGATAGCGAGAACCGAACCCGCATTGTTAGCTTGGAAGACTAGGGGTTATAATCAACGTTGATTCATCATTTTGAACGTCTCTAATTTAAAACCGAACATGAAACTTTGGTTTCATTCAGCTCCTTTCATGGAAGATGTAAAAAAAAAAAATGTCACCCATACATAACATCGATGTCATGTCATTTTATGTCATTTACTGGCTCTGTACTAGATTATGTGTGCATATACCAACCTATGATTGTCAACATATTTGTGTCGTCCGACACTATCTTTGAAAGATCTATTTCAAAGAAATTTAAAGATACATTATTATTTTCGAAAATATATATTTTTATGAGTAACAATTGATATATTATTATTATTTTCATTTTTTTTACAAGATTAAATAAATTAGCACTATGTTTTTTTTTTTATTGGAGATAAAATTATCACAGCCGTTGGATCAATCTTGGTAAGTTTTTTAACCTTCAAAAAAGTATCTTTGAGTTCGGTACGATTCTCTTTTTCTTACATTTATTTTCAACATTTATTTAAAAATGAAAAGATGACGTCAGCAAAATGAGTATACAAATGAAAATTTAATTAATTAAATTATATTAATAATTTAACTAAATAAAAAAAATTTAATTAATATAATAAAATTATTGTAATTAAATAACTAAATAAAAATTTACATAATTATATTTGTTTGAATTTGTTTTTATCTTTTTTATTCGTATCTCTCTATTTTATTTTAAAATTTAATAAAAAGGCCTAAAATTAGATAGTATTTGTTATTTAATTAAAATATTAATCATGTATTGTTTTATTTAAATAATATTTAAAGAATATATCAAGAACCAAAAAATTACAGTTAAAGAAAATATCAAATTTCTACATTATAAATAAATTTATTACATTATACAATTATTTTATTTTCTATTCTCGAAAGTCTTTCACCTTCCAGATTTCAAATAAAATTCTTACATAATTCAGATCGATCTTGGTAAGTTTTCTAAACTTCTTAAACATATCTCTAAGTTTCTTATACAATGCATACTGTCTATTCTCTATTTTGAATCGATTTTTTATAATTTCGTCTCTATTACACTTTCATCATTTTACGTAAATAGGTCGTCACCCAGTATACTTTATTTTTGTGACAATATGATGAGTATGATGATTGCATGACGTTTGGCTTAATATGTCGATATTTTTCATATTAAGCATGTTGTATGATGATGAGTGTCATATTGCATCATATCTATAGTTAGATATAAGACACAACCTAAGAGCATGAAAATGATTTTAATATAAATACACAGCGAACCTATGTTACTTACTGTAACATAAACACGAGACTAGAGGGTTGTGTCAAAAGAAAAGATAAGATGAAAATATTATAATTATTTATTTTTCAAAAAGAACTAACTTTAAATATACATTTTTTCTGAAAAAATCATTCATATAAAATTAGGAAATGATTTGTTAAGCGTTATTTATATATATAAATAAATAAAGACTCTGTTCCCTATTTTTTTCTTTCATTAAACTCTTCAAATCATCAATTCCATCCGTGGTCGGTAAAGCTATTTGAAGATCCTGACACTGAGCTACTGAATTCACTGAGCTCAAACGCAAGCAAAGCAGGTATATATATATATATATCCTACATTTTTACCGTGCGGCGTCGTGATCTTGACACGCTCACGACTAGTCTAAAGGAGAATTAAGCCCCATGTATATTTTTCACTCTGGCTTTATGGTTTCGTCGGACCTTAGGCGAGGTTTGTCTTTACCAATTGAATATTGACGGCGCATACATGTTCAATCGTCTGCGACACATCCGACTTGCCTCTACACTTGGCCAAGTCATTCTGCTCGACCTTGCCTCTACTCGAGCCAAGGTCTTTTAATGCAACGTCGCATCTCATCTTGTCATCTAGATCTCCATCGATAGGGTCCATATCGAATCGATGTTGATAAATTTTTTAAATTTGATTGAAATTATGATTGAGTTTAGTTATATGGGTTTGGTTTAAGCTTCTTAACTGGGTGAGGTTACGAGGATTTTTATGATTCTCATGTTCCTTTTTAGGTTCATTCTCAAGCGATTATTGAAAAGATGAGGATAATGCAGACAAAGCGAAGATACCTTACCGACGTTTCCTCAAACCGTATGGTTATGCCAAGTAATGTTACAACCTTCTTAAGACCATCAACAGCCGTCCGAGCCAAGAAATCTAATGGGGATTCTAAATCACCCCTGTTCAAAACTCCGCCATTAAGGACGACGGCACAAGTATCATCACCTGCAAAGTCTGCTCGAACACAAGTATTATCACCCACAAAGGCTACTCGAGTAGAGATGTTGAAGAATAAATTTAGTGATACTATTTCAAAAGCTCAACAATCACTTCAGACCAAGTCTAAGGTTGCCGTTCCAAAGGTATTATCTGAACAAAAACGAGCGGCTCCAAAGGCATTCTCTACAATTGAACAAAAACAAGCTTCTCCAAAGGAATACTCAGTATGGGAACAAAGACGAGCTTCAAGAGAAGCTCTTGATGCGGTCAACCCCACGTATGATTTTAACGAGAATCTCGATGCCATGAAAGAGTTCGAGAATCTACTAACTAATGGTATTGAATGTAATTCAAATTGTTTAATTAATAATACTTTGGGATGAGTTAGATGATGAGGATGCTAAGGTTATGCCAACATAGTTGGATAATCGGGGCTGCATCTACTGATTCCTCATCACCAATAATTTCCTTTTTTTTTTTTTTTTATCTCACACATTCCACAAAGAGGCTAAATCGTGCATAGAATGTTGCAACATGACTAGTTCTTATACGATCTCGAACAAAGTATTTGTGATTCTTATACATACTCCGACCTTAAATTCGAACGAAGTATCTAAGTGTTCTTAGTTCTTAGACATACTGAAAGCTAAATATGATGAAAAAAATGGGGAGAAAGCATCAATATATTAATATAGTTATTGTAATTTATTAAAATATTTGAGAAATGCTTCTCGCTTTTGTGTCAGAAATCTGCAAATGTGTACCTAAATGTAGAGGCAATAGAGCATAGAGGTAGAGATAGAGACAGGCATCGATATTACAATATGTACTAACCCTAAATCACAAACATATGAACAATTTGTTGTTCTTAAAGTCCCAATCTGAGATCCAGAGTGATGGCAGAGAAAGAGGAATATGAAGAAGATGAGGAATCTTCAACAGGCGCAGGCATATTCAAATCAAAATTAACACAAACCTCTTCATGAGCTGATTCATTCTCCCAATCGGAAGCCCTATCGATGAAATTAAGGCCATTCGCGAGCATTATCAAGCAATCGGCGATGTTCTGTTCCTCTTCCGTAATCGAAGATTCTTCAAAATCGAGAACAGGACTAGAAGGAGAAACCGAAATCGAGCGACGGAAACAAAGCGGCGGATTAATCCCTCGCCATTTACGTTCTGGATGACACCTCATGTGACCGAAAAGCGCTTTATCCGACCGAAATTTCCTCCCGCACTCTGTACACGGAGGAGTGATCTTCGGCTCAATAGATTCAGGCTTCTTCCTATACTTAGCCTTGGAACCGACGGTGACGGCGGCGGAGTCGTTTTCTTTTGTGGAGCGCTTCTTGCAAGCGATACGGCGGCGCTTGGAGGCGGAAACGGTTGTTTTAACCATTCGGAGTTCAGACGGAAAAGCGAGGCTCAGCGGAGTGGTGGTGCTACTGGCGGATGAATTTGGATTTGCGAACTGAGCGGACTGGTTCTTCTCTCACGAACTCTCACAAATAAGTTAGTTACCGAGATTACCGGCTTTTTTCTTTTTGGCGCCTTTTTTCACCGACATCTGTCTTCCTCCAATGTGATCTCGACCGTTCATTTGTAGATGCATTACTCAAATGTGATCTTGACCGTTGATTTATTATTATCATTTTTTAAAAAATTATTGATTATAATTTAAAATCGGATGTAATATTGGTTCATTTATATACCTTATTTTTACCTGAGAAATTGTTAATTTTTTTTTTTTTTTTTTTTTCATGCTGATTGATTTATCGTCATCATTTTTATAAATGCATAGTTTTCGTGTTTGAGAGGACGATCCTCAAAATTTAAAACGGGCATGCTTGAATCGTCATGAATGAGTCTACCATTAATATTATTTATTTGGATTCTTTTTGACCTATGTATGGTAACAAGTTTGGTTATTTAAACGTCCCTTAATTTAAAATATACGTAAAATGTATGAGATCCAACATTGGTTGGAGAGGAAAACGAAACATTTTTTTATAAGAGTGGAAACATCTCCCTAGTAGACGTGTTTAAAACTGTGAGGCTGACGGTGATACGTATTGGGCAAAAGTGGATAATATCTGTCAGCAGTGGGTTCGGGTTGTTACGAATGGTATCAGAGCCATACATTGGGAGGTGTGTCAGCGAGGACGTTGGGTCCCCAAAGGAGGTGGATTGCGAGATTCCATGTCGGTTGGAAAGGCAAACGAAACATTTCTTATAAGAGTGTGGAAACATTTCCCTAGTAGATGCGTTTAAAACTGTGAGGCTGACGCCAATGCGTAATAGGCCAAAGCAGACAATATCTATCGGCAGTGGGCTTGGGCTGTTACAAATGGTATCAAAGCCATACACTGGGAGGTGTACCAACCAGGACGCTGGGTCGCCAAGGGGTGTAGATTGTGAGATCCCACCTCGGTTGGAGAGGAAATGAACTATTTCTTATAAGGGTGTGGAAACATCTCCTTAGTAGATGCGTTTAAAACCGTAAAACTGACGACAATACGTAATAGGCCAAAGCGGACAATGGGCTTGGACTGTTACAAATAGTATCAGAGCCATATACTGGGAGGTATGCCAACCAGGACACTAGGTCTCCAAAGGGTGTAGATTGTGAGATCCCACATTAGTTGAAGAGAGAAACGAAACATTTACGTAACTTGGACTTGAAATGTTGCAAAATGAACGATTAAAATATATTATTTTTTTCGAATAATGTTACAACCATCTTGAAACCATATGCTATTGTCCGAAATAACAAACCTTACATGGATTTAGCTGGAATTCGACTTTAATGTAAATCTTGATGCCACGAGAGAGACGAGTTGCAAGAGAAAATTTAACGCCCAAACTCAAAATCTAAGCATCGAGCCATTCAAATACTCCGTAACATTAAAATACGTGGCAACATCAGTGAAAATATTTGAATCCACGCCCATCCTCTATTTCAACCGTTATTTGCATCCCACGTGCTAATTCACAATAGTTCTTATCGAATAACACAATTTCAAATCTTTCACCCTCGGTAGATTCTCATCTCTAGCTAGTGACTTCCATCCCGAGAATAGATCTATTGCACATTCGAGATGACAATTATGACTCCCAAAGCCACCACAAAAAATACTTGTTCTCGTCGCTCGGAGTCGTAATGGATTGTCGAAGAAAGTTAGATGAAGCGAGATAATTACGAATTTCATAAGACGAAGGGTCGATTGTCGGGTTAGGTATAAGGGTAAAGATGTAAAATAATAGGTCAACTAGATTTTGTGGCATGGTTGGTGCTTTATTTTTCAGTCAAATAAATATAAAAAAAAAGGGAAAAAAATAAGAAAAAAAAGGGAAAAAAAATAAGAAAAAAAAGGAGGCCTGGTCATGTTCTTTTTCCAGATTGTTCCAGCCCAAGAACATCTGGAAAAATCCAAAATAAGGCCCACGGAAGGATCGAAACCCTATCATGCCGGACTAGAAGGAGCAAATCCAGGCCCGATTTAAGAACGAAATATCAATTTTCATTTCATTTCATGAATCGCTCAAATCACACATTCATCTGACGCGATTTTTTCATTCCTGCCTCTCCAATTCTCCACCTACCTTTCTCAATTCATTCAATTCTCTCCCATTTTGTACAGTAAATACTTCAATTTGATTTTGTGTTAACAGTATTTTTATTTTTTTTTCTCGCGTTTTAATCTGTGGTTTTCGTTACCGTTCGGGGTTTTCCATGTTTCTTCTGGGATAGGGTCAGTGTTGGTTTTCTTTTTCGAGGTTGATTTTGCTGATCGATCTGCGTGTAAGGGATATGGGTGCCGACGGTGATTCCAGCGAGCACCGGGTTGAGGGCGGTGGCGATGGTGAAGAAGGTGGAGTTGGTGTTTCTGTCAATATTCGTTGCTCTAATGGTTCGAAATTTTCGGTGACGACGAGTCTTGATTCCACGGTTGGGACATTTAAATCAATTCTTGCTCAGAATTGTGATATTCCAGCTGATCAACAGCGATTGATCTACAAGGGTCGCATCTTGAAGGACGATCAGACCTTAGTCAGTTATGGTATGTTCCTTTTTTCTTTGTTAATCTGGAAGTCTTGGACTAAGGTATGGTGGGTAACTCTCGTTTTTCTTTATCTGCTTCGTGTACGAAGTTTCCTGTTTATTAGAATTGAGATTTTTCCACTTCGGAAGGATATGTGAATGTGAATTTTGCTTTTCATGTCTTTGTTGAGGTCATTTGTTCCAAGGGAATTGCTTAGTTTATTGAATTGTAACATTTGTCCCCGAATGTTCATTTTTCTTTTTGGGTACAAAGTTTAACTTAAGCTAAGGGCATGTTTGTGAGTGATTTTCATATAAGCATTCTTTGAGAATGATTTTGAATCGGTTAAAATAACTTATTTCATGTTCAAAATTACGCTCTAACATCCTTTAAACTAAGATTACGAAACATACTTTTTCATGTTTTACACTTTTAAACACAAATTTGCACCATCAAAATCGACTTTGAATCTTTAAAGGCATGTTCTATGACACTTTGTACTCCGTCTGGTTGGGTTTATGTATAGTTTAATGCAAGTTACTTGTATGATTGTAATGTCTGAATCTTCATTTTGGCTGATGATCCTCTCTTCTTGACTTTCTCAAGTTGGTCTATATGTTTTAAGTCTTGTGACAATGCTATCTTATTCTTTCAGAATCAAATATGCATTACATAATGTGAGGTGTCCACACATTCAATCATATATTTGTATCCAGATATACAGTTCAAGCTTTTGTTTTCCATTCTATTCCTAGTGGTGGGTTTTTTATGTTCATAGTGAATATTGGCCAAGTTATGTAAGTATATTCTATTTGTTATCAGGCTGATTAATGCAGGTCACGTTACACTGATTAGTCCGTTATTTGTAGCCTTGTGTGCATTAAGAGAACCCTTTGATCTTGTGTCATTAGCACTCTGGCATTTTGTGCTGTAATTGGCATTGAGAATATGTTTTCTTCTTCAAGTCTTTCCTGTAACCTGAAATTTACTTCACATCTTTTTTACCTTTCTTCTTGAAGGGTTACAGGCAGATCATACTATTCACCTGGTTCGTGGGTTTCCCCAAGGTTCGTCAGCACCTGCTTCTAATGATAATAATAGAAGTTCTGAGACTGCTCCCGGTGTTACAAGAGGTGTTGGTTCCACTGGGAGTGATGCTTTTGGAAATGCTGGCCTTGGTGCATCTTTGTTTCCTGGACTAGGTTTCAATTCTCTCGGTGGGGGTGGAGCTGGACTTCCTGAGTTTGAACAAGTGCAACAGCAGTTGACTCAGAATCCAAACATGATGAGGGAAATAATGAACATGCCTGCAATCCAGAACTTGATGAATAATCCTGACATGATGCGGAGCTTAATTATGAGCAATCCTCAGATGAGGGATATTATTGACAGGAACCCCGAGCTTGCGCATATACTCAATGACCCTGGTATTCTTCGGCAGACATTAGAGGCTGCAAGGAATCCAGAACTCATGAGGGAGATGATGAGAAACACTGACAGAGCGATGAGTAACATCGAATCTTCTCCTGAGGGATTTAACATGCTGAGACGGATGTATGAAAATGTTCAGGAGCCATTTCTGAATGCAACAACGATGGCTGGAAATGCTGGGAATGATTCGAGTTCAAACCCATTTGCAGCTCTCCTGGCAAACCAAGGGGGTGCACAAGCTAGGAACGAGTCTAATAATTCTTCTACTACAGGATCGGAAACAACCGAAAATGCTGCTCCGAATACGAATCCACTTCCTAATCCCTGGGGTAATAATATGCTAGTGCCAAACCATTGCCACTTACTTTCTTATTCCTTTTTAAGACTAGTTAAGTACAATTTTGGTTGCAATTTTGTTCTATTCCGATCATAATATTGCAAGAAAACGCCCGTTTGCATTCAAATGACTTAACTTACATTTTCCTTTTTGCTTTCTGTTGGAATTAGAATGGGAAATCTAATGTTCCTTTTTATCTGACTCTATATTTACATAAGATTTATAATTTTATGTGGTTGTTATCTGAAGGTAATCTTGCTTATCCGTAGTCACGTATTATTTACTTTCTATCAGGTTTTTTGTTTTCAAATTCTTTGCCTACTATGTTATAATATTTCTTTTGCCCAAAGTAAGCCCATGACTCTATCTTCGTTTCGTTCTTCGGAGCTTGTTTGGCATATTCCATTGTAAATTTGAATCTCATACCATTCAGTTAGGAACCTAACTTCCCCATTTCCTTCATGCTATTAACATGGAAAGTCCATCACATCTTTACTGAATGGTGGCATATTTCGATGTTAACTTCTAGGAGGAACTCAGACAACAACCACACAGCCTACTCCAGTAGGTGATGCAAGGCCTGGTATTGGGGGTTTAGGAGGGGCTGGTCGCACAAATGTGGAACGTTCTGTTGGTGGCACGCCGGATGTAGCTCAGTTGAATCAGTTTCTGCAGAACCCGGCTATTTCACAGATGATGCAGAGCCTGCTCTCCAATCCTCAGTATATGAATCAAGTGCTGTGCTTATATGATGATATAATTTTCTGCTAAATTAGTTAAATGCCATTTGAAAAGTTTCCTAATTCATATATTCTTTGATTTGAACTACAGATCCTCAATCTCAACCCACAGATACGGGGTATGGTTGATATGAATCCTCAATTAAGAGAAATGATGCAAAATCCCGAGTTCGTTCGCCAATTAACTAATCCTGAGATGATGCAGGTACAACTTCTCAGACATTCGACACTCGATCCATGTGACTATTTCATTAATAGGCATTCGTTGTATGGTGATGATGATGATTCATAGTAGCTTATTGATATCATTGCTATTATTTTTTCTATTACAATACATTTATGACTTTCTTGGTTCATTTCTGTACTTCCTGCTTGCAGCAAATGCTATCAATTCAGCAGTCACTTTTCTCGACCTTAAATCGACAGCCTTCATCTCAGTAAGTCCGGATTTCTCTCTCAAATTTACATTATTATGTAGCACAAATACTAGGCTGTTCGAAACTGCGATCAGGTTCACGTTTTATATTGAATTCTGCTGTCTCATTATCGTATATCAGAACTGTTTTTCGTACTTATATAATCAAACTTCATCCAGAACGAATTCTGTGGCCTAGTAACAGTAGTTTAGTAGATTGTAGAATTTGAGCAAGTTTATAAATTGTATGATTAGAGCTGAACGAATTTTCACACGACGTCCTTTTTTTAAATACTCGTTGCTTTTTACAGGAATTCTGCTCAATCGGGCACTGCTGCAGGTACGGTGAAGGATAACTTTTAAATTGATGTTTGTTTTCTTTAGCATCATCGACGTTTCTAAGTCGTGTAAGTTATAGGTGTTCCTAACACTGCTGGATTGGAGATGTTGATGAGCCTGTTCGGTGGGCTTGGCGCCGGTGGGTTGGCTACTCCGAACAATCCAAACGGTTCGATCATCTGCTTGTTACGTTATCTTCTTTTCCAGTTCTCCCTCATACATAAGATCAAATGAACCTTGTTTGCAGTGCCCCCAGAAGAACTATATGCAACCCAACTTTCACAGCTCCAAGAGATGGGTTTCTTCGACACCCAAGAGAACATCAGAGCTCTACGTGCTACATCCGGGAACGTCCATGCTGCTGTCGAGCGACTGCTGGGAAATCTCGGGCAGTAAACTGAACCGATCTACCATTTTTCTTTCGAAATTGAATTGAGATTTATCATGCTGGACGATATGTAGTAGTGAAAATTTAGATCTACAGACACCAACCAAACACAGCTGCACATGCCACAGACATATACAGGTTATGTTTTGGAATCTGAATAATTGAAATGCCCCATGAGATATATATATATATATATATAGATATATATATATATAGACTTGTTGATATAAGTTATGGATTACTAATATCAAGTTCTATGCTCCCTTACCCAAAAAAAAGACTTGTAAATACATTTAAAATGGTTCAAATTCTTGGGAGCTTGATCATGCTGATTTCTGTTGCCTTTTGTTCCTCTGTTTCTTTGGTGGGTTCTCGTTGTTATACCGCCTTTCGGTTTTATTTCTTTGGGATTTAATATCTTATGAGTTACTTTGTAACTAACGTTTTGGCAGGATCAAAAGAAATTAGTTGCTCGTTATCTCGAGAGATTAGTCGAGACGTAATTAGTTGCTCGTCATCTTGAGAGATTAGTCGAGACGAAATTAATTGCTCGTTATTTTGAGAGATTAGTAAATTAGTTGCTGTTATCTCGAGAGATTAGTAAATTAGTTGCTGTTATCTCGAGAGATTAGTTGAGAGGAAATTAGTTGCTCGTGAGAGATTAGTCGAGAGGAAATTAGTTGCTCGTGAGAGATTAGTCGAGATCCATGTCACTTAATCAGATAAAATATTGTTCACATCTATTCTAGAACAATTTGTATTATTTTGAAAAATAATGATTCTTTTATCAGTCAATTTATAGAACAAGGTTTAAATACTATTTTATTTTTTGTGATTTTGGTTTTAGTTCATTTTATTATTCTTTTTTGTACTTATTAAATGTCTTTTTTGATTTTTTAAATATTTTTTAAAAATTATCAATTTGGTCCTTTAAATTTTAAGCCTTATAAAGAATGATTTGAAAAATAAGAAAATCACATTAAAAAAAACAATAAAAATAGAATTTAAATATATAAATTTACGAATTAAAATTCATTTATTTGAACTGAAAAAAAAATGATTTATTTGAATTTGAATATTAAAAAAAAGAAAAATAAAACCTAATGATTATTGAAAATTAAAAAGAAAACATAAAAATAATTGAAAAACAGAGCTCAAACAACCTTTTTTCTGAACTCAAGAATTCACTTTTGTGCGAAACTGAAGAATACACGGAGGGAGAGCAATTCCCTTGTGCCGCTGCTGCAAGTCGTCGCACCGACGGTTGCCGGCGAGGCCAAATTCACATATTCCATCTCCACCTCTCTTCTTACACTGTTTCAAAATCTTGTTAGAATCTTCAGATGATAAATCTAAGAACCTTCGTTCCGATCCTAACGGCGGTCGTAAAGATTTCGTTGTGAAAAGCTACGTCTATTCTAATCAACCTGCGGTTCAAGTAACGCCGGCGAGCCGCCGACGCCGCCGCTGCTGCAGCGGTGGATGATGCGCGTCATTCCGGCCGAGAGTGAAGAGGATCGCTTGCTCGTGGATTGATGGTAATAGGAATTGACAGGAAGAGACGATAACGATTGAGGTCCGTTGGAGGCTGGAAATTGGGCCGAAATTTTCTTCCACCACGGTTGTAGTGAACGGGACGCACAGGACTCCGAAGTCACGTGCCCTCCCCGTGCTTCTGCTGCACATTTCCTCTCTTACGTCTCTCTGACCAATTAGCTGGATGAAGCTTTAGGGCGTCGTTTATCGACTATTCTGTTGTTCTGTTTCATGCTTCTCAAGTTTCAAGGTGATTTTCTGTTGTATCATCTTCATTCCCGTTAGAGTTTCAATGATTTTATTATTACATTCAAGTTTTGATTCGTAATTCCTGGGTTTTCCCCAAAATTCATCACTATCTAACAAGAATTAGAAACTTTGATTTCCATTTTCCCTCTGCCTTTCATCCATTTGGCGGAGCTGACTCGGTTTCCATCGTCGTTGCGGTTAATTGTGGCATTTGTACCCTTTTTGGCTATTCAGGTGAAATGGGAACAGATTTTTACTGGGTCATTCCCAGCGAACTAAATCGTTTCCCTAGAACTTTCCCTGTTTCATAGAAGTAGTTGAGGCAAATTAGGTCTGTCCGAAATTAAATTAATCTTTCTGAAATGAACCCTTGATGCATCCATCTATCATCGAAGATTTGCTATCAGTCATCTTGTATTACGGAGCTGCAATATAGAAATGAAATCAGTTCATAAAATGTTTAAAGAGTTTGAAAACTCAAGCCAAAAACTAAACAGGCCTAGTGATTAATTGAGGATGTTTGGTTGTGCGTATTAATAACATTGTTGGTGGGTTTCAAAAGGTTGATATGTTTTCCTCCTTCCTTTCTATTGAAAAAGTTTGTTGGTGAACTGAAATATTTTTATGCTTTCTTTATGTGGAATTCAGGCAGTAGAGATTAGAGGTGAAGCTGTTGAGATTGACTTATTTCAACATATCAATGACCTACACACCTCCAACATGGGCAACATTAGCTGCTGCTGCATTTGTTTTTTTGTCGCTTGTTCTATCACTGTATCTGTTGTTTGAGCACCTTTCTGCATATAAGAATCCGGAGGTTCTCTTATTCAATGAAGATGCTTTTCTTGTATTTTAATTTTTCCGATTTTCTTTCGAGGAATATAATTATTCCTGGTTGCCATCTTTCAGGAGCAAAAGTTTTTGATTGGTGTTATCCTAATGGTGCCAACTTATGGTGTAGAATCTGTAAGTTCTTAACTGAATGCTTCACGTTATGACTTGATAAATATTTGTAGATACATTTTTTTTTTCTATCACCTTATTGGGTGCAAGTAATCTGAGACTTTCCTCAATCAAAGCTTTATGGTTGAAATAGCAAGAAGTTACTATGTCCAACTGAACTGATTATTTGTGAGATCCCACATGGGTTGGAGAGGAGAACGAAACATTTTTTCTAAAGGGTGTGGAAACCCTCCCTAGCAGATGCGTTTTAAAAACCTTGAGGGGAAGCCCGAAAGGGAAAGCCCAAAGAGGATAATATTTGCTAGTGGTGAGGTTGGGCTACATAACCTTATTTCAAAATAGAGTTCACATCTAAAGAGAATATTTGCTCGAGCAGTTGAATGTTACATTTTTAAGGATGCATTCCATATATGCAGTCTATAACTGTGGGGCCTTGTATCTTCAAGGTTCTTATTGGATCTTAGAATTATAAATTGTAATCAACTTGATATTTGCTGCTGGTATTTGATTTGTTTTTAAGGATTGACAATCGATTTGATTTTATTTATCAGAAGTTTTATTAAGAGGATTGACAACAGATATCTTGTGTGCAAATTCACACCATCTCTGTTTATCTTACTTGGCTTATTGTGAACAGTTTGTATCATTGGTGTACCCATCAATAAGTGTTCATCTTGAGATACTGCGAGATTGCTACGAATCCTTTGCTATGTACTGCTTTGGACGTTACCTGGTTGCTTGCTTGGGTACGTTCTTTGCAAAGTATTTCTGATAGTATTGTAGGATTATGACAGAAGCTATGGTTCTAAATTTGCAGGAGTCCGAACTTATTCATTTTTTCTCTTCATCTTCAAAGTTCCAAATTTTTCTTGCAGTTTTTCTCATGGATCAAACCATCTACTGACCCCTTTATTATATATTTTTTATTTTTATTTTTACTAGGTGGGGAAGAAAGGACCATTGAATTTTTGGAGAGAGAAGGACGTTCAAATACGAAGACACCATTATTAGAACATAGCCTAGAGAAGGGAACAATCAAGCATGTTTTCCCCATGAACCTTTTCTTAAAGCCTTGGAAAATTGGTGGATGGGTTTACCGTGTTATCAAAATTGGAATCGTCCAATATGTACGCTTGCAATTGACCATTGATGCTCTGTTATCCAATGCCTTTTAATACGATTAAAGAAGACTAATGGATTTTCTCCATGGCAGATGTTGATAAAGTCCCTAACGTCTATTTTGGCTGTAGTTCTTGAGAACTTGGGCGTTTACTGTGAAGGAGATTTTAATTACAAATGCGGGTAAACCAAAATTTCAAGTATCTCTGTTGTTGCTTACTCTCCTTCACATTCGACTAACTTTGTGTTTTAACTTTTGAATTTGTTTTATCTATTCATGTGATGAGGTTTTCATTTTTTCCTTTTGGACATGGTATTTGGATAATTAGTTTTTGTATCTTGTTACTGTTAACTTTGATTCACTAATGTGTATATTCTTGTTTTTTCAACCCCTTGACTTGATCTATCTGTCAATTGTATGTGTGCATCCTTGGTCATGTCGAGGTTCTATTTTATTTCTTTTAGTTTTTTTTTTTTTACTTTTTTCTAGACTGGTTATGTTTTCTAATTAGCTGATTAAGTCTCAATTAACGGATAAAGTTGCATGTGATAATCTGAATTTTGAATTCATTTTCCTCAGTGGCTCGTTATTTTATCTTACGGATTACTTTTAGGTACGTAGTGCTGAAGTAAATTTTTGGTTGATGGTTGAGAAGTATTGGAGATTCTACAGCCAAAGTTTTTGGTTGATGGTTTTAGCATTTATTTCGTAGGTATCCCTATATGGCAGTGGTTTTAAATTTCAGTCAATCATGGGCGTTGTACTGTCTGATTCAGTTCTATGCAGTTACAAAGGAGGAATTGGTACATATAAAACCACTGGCCAAGTTTTTGATGTTTAAATCTATAGTGTTTTTGACTTGGTGGCAAGGTGTTGGAATTGCTCTCCTATCTGCCCTTGATTTGTTCAGGAGTCCTGTAGCCCAAGGGTTGCAGTTTAAGTCAAGTGTACAAGATTTCATCATTTGTATAGAGGTAGCCATTTCTTCCACCTGATTCCTTTTTTTCCCCGCTGTTTCGGATCTAATCACGGCACCTTTGATCAACTCTCGTCAGGCTCGACGAATAATATTACCTCTTTCTCAAAAGCCATTTTTCCCTTTGATTTGGTTGCCTTCTTTCCTTGCTGTTTTACCCTCTTAGGTGGATAAAGCTTTTATAATATATATGTTATTATGTGTAGTCGTCCTTTATTGTATATCTATACATGTATATGTGTGAGAACCCACATCGATTGGGGAGGAGAACGGAACACACATCGATTGGGGAGGAGAACGGAACATCCTTTATAAGGGTGTGGAAACCTTCCCCTAGTAGACGCGTTTTAAAAACCTTGAAGGGAAGCTCGAAAGGAAAAGCCTAAAGAGGACAATATCTGTAAGCGGTGGGCTTGGGCCGTTACAATATGTGACTATAATGTAAAAAAATATATGGAGTATCTTTCCCAAAAGCAACAATTTGTATCAAAATTTCACTGAATAATAAAAACAACCATTTCTTTTCCCATGGAGCATTTTTTTGTTTCTTCAATTTCTTGTTCTCTGTTCTTTTAAGAAAGCAGCTTGGAGTGGTTAATTGTAGTGAAGACTGGTTCTTAGTAGTAAGAAATAAACAGATGTATTCTCCTTGTGTCATCTGATTGTTGATGCTCATATTCACAAGATTGAATTCTAACACATCTATAATTCATCCAGCACAGATGGCCATTGCTTCTGTGATTCACTTATATGTATTTCCAGCAAAACCATACGAACTTATGGGAGACCGTTATACTGGAAGTGTTTCTGTTCTTGGCGACTATGCATCTGTCGACTGTCCTTTAGATCCAGATGAGATCAGGGATAGCGAGCGTCCTACCAAGTTACGCCTACCCCAGCCCGACGCAGAAAACCAAGATACCAGGATGGGAATGACAATCAAAGAGAGCGTCCGAGATGTCTTTGTCGGTGGTGGCGGTTATGTGAGTTTTCTCCCTTCATTCTACATATTAGATCCTTGATTTCTCTAATTGATTGGGATTAATGTATGTGGGGATTTTCGCTTCCTAAGGTTACATATGTCCATACATACCTATATATAGTCATGGAAAAGTAGATAAACATGGGAAACTATCTTAAAGTAAGCAAACTAAGCACTACGGAATTTATACTCTCTTTTTCAACTAATCATCCTAACTACTTTCAGTGGGCCGAAGAGCCTGTGGAAGACAATAGAGAGCTCTTACACGAAAAGTCATGTAGGTTTACGTTAGAAAATAAAGATTTTGGGTCTTTGACGTATTTATATTTCTTTACTAACTCGAGCAATCTGTACTTGCTGAAATTACCATTTGAACATGCTTACAGATTGTGAACGACCTGAGATTCACAGTAAACCAAGCAGTCGAACCTGTGGAAAAAGGAATAACAAAGTTCAATGAAAAACTACAGAAGCTCTCCCAAAACATTAAGAAACGAGACAAGGATAAAAGAAGAACCAAGGATGATAGTTGTATCACATCTCCCACACGAAAAGTTATTCGAGGAATAGACGACCCCCTTCTGAACGGGAGCTTCAGCGATAGCGGGGTCATAAGGGAAAAGAAGAACCGTCGAAAGTCGGGTTATTTAAGTGCAGAAAGCGGAGGAGAAAGCAGCAGCGATTTTGGTTATGGAAAGTACCAAGTCGGGGGCCATCGGTGGATCACCAAAGAGTAGTAAAAGGTAATAGATTCTTACTGCCCTTATAACAAAGCAAGAAAAAAAGAGGCCGGTTGTGGTTCACATATCAAGAGATGTGTATTGAAGTTTCAAATGCCTGAATTTCTGCTTTGTGTGAGCCATCTGCAAATGTAGTTATGGCATGGCAATGATGGGGGGGAGATTCACCAAATGCCAAGGTAATTTCTTGGTGCAAAGAGGATAAATGAATCTATTGCTTAGTGTATTATCATGATTACGAACTATGGGCTTGCTTACTGTTCTTGTAAATAGCTGCCTATGAGTGACAGAATTGGTATGTTTTGCATTATTTATTTGTGGGGTGGACAGATATTAGTAGAAAGATTTGTAAAATCTTATCGATGGATGTGTTTAACGATCTTTAAACTTAGTATTCTTGGAATTGGAGAAGCTTCATGTTACTATAGATTCGACTTTCTGCACATGTACTGATCGGAGTCGTTACGTAGAAACGAAGAACTTGGTCAGAATATGTTTTTTGGAAGAGACTCATTGATCTTATACCTTTTGGTTTTAAACAGGAAAAGTTGATATTGTGATCCTATACTGTTTGATTATAAATAGGAAAAGTCAATAAATGTGATCTTATACTGTTTGATTATAAACATGAAAAGTCCATATTGTGATCTTATACTATTTGATTATAAATAGGAAATGTTGATAGTGTGATCTTATACTGTTTGATTATACACAGGAAAAGTCAATAGTGTGATCTTATACTGTTTATATCGTTTGATTATAAACAGGAAAATTTGAAATTGTGATCTTATACTGTTTGATTATAAACAGGAAAAGTCGATATTATGATCTTATACTGTTTGATTATAAATAGGAAACGTCGATATTGTGATCTTATATTGTTTGAGTATAAATAGAAAAAATCGATATTGTATATAGTGAGGTCACTGTGTAATTTTCTTATTTTTTCATTTACTAACTTGAAATTAGGAAGTCAGCAATAAACTTAGATTTGGTTTATTTAAAACATAGATAAAAGTGGTATTTATAAATTTAATTTAAAAAAAATTATGATTAGATAATCATTTAATTACTTTTTTTAATAAAATATAATTTTTTTAAAAACTAGATTATTACAAATTTTAAAAGACAAAATAAAATAGAGAAGTCGTTGTATGAAACGGCGTCGTATTGAAGAAGGTGGAATCGTCATCCACCATTTCGTCGCCTCCGTACTTTTCGTCTTCGTTAGAGAAACTACGCAGAGGAACCCACCGTCGCCTTCTCCCTCGCAATCCCATCTCCGGCCGACTCAATATCTCTAACTCTTCATTTCTCTTCACAGCTCGATCGGATTCCTCAGCTATGGCTCTCAATCTCCGCCAAAAGCAGACTGGTAAGTCCTTTTCTTCTTCCTTAAGTCTCAGTTCCCGCAAATCAACCATACATATTAAGCACTCGATTACGCCGGATGCCATTTCTCCGATCTTCTTTGAACTAATTCTGTATTTGATTGATGGCAGAAAGCATTATTCGTATGTTGAATCTGAACCAGCCTGTTACCGCTACGGGTACGGCCAACGATGAGGTTTACAAGATCCTGATCTACGACAGGTTCTGTCAAAACATTCTTTCTCCTTTGATTCATGTCAAGGACCTACGCAAACATGGCGTTACTCTTTACTTCCTTATTGACAAGGAACGTAAGCCTGTACACGATGTCCCTGCTGTTTACTTTGTTCAAGCAACCAAGCATAATATCGATCGGATCGTTGCTGATGCTTCGCGTTCTTTGTATGATAGCTTCTTTCTCAACTTCTCATCCTCTGTCCCCCGGCAGCTGCTTGAGGATCTCGCGTCTGAAACGTTGAAAACGGATTCCATTCAGCGAATTGCAAAGGTGCATGATCAGTATTTGGAATTTGTTACTCTTGAAGATAATTTGTTTTCGTTAGGTCAGAGGTCTAGTTATGTGCAATTGAATGATCCCTCGGCAGGGGATCGTGAGATTGAAGAGATTGTGGAGAAGATTGTTGGAGGGTTGTTCTGTGTTTTGGCTACGCTTGCTGTAGTGCCGATCATTAGGTGCCCACGAGGGGGGCCTGCTGAGATGGTTGCCATGGCGTTGGATCAAAGGTTAAGGGATCACTTGTTATCGAAGAACAACTTGTTCTCTGAAGGTGGGGGGTTTATGAGCTCCTTTCAGCGCCCGATTCTGTGTTTATTTGATCGTAATTTTGAATTGTCTGTTGGAATTCAACATGATTTTAGATACCAGCCTTTGGTGCACGACATTCTTGGGCTGAAATTGAATGGGTTGAGTGTTAAGAGTGAAAAGGGTGGAATGAATTATGAGTTGAATAGTTCGGATCCATTTTGGTCGGCTAATGGATTCTTGGAATTCCCAGAAGTTGCAGTCGAGATTGAGACACAGCTGAACAAATACAAGAGGGATGTTGATGAGGTCAATAGGAAGACTGGTGGAGCTGCTGAGGCTGAGTTTGATGGAGCAGATATGATAGGTAACACTAAGCATTTGATGAAGGCAGTTAACTCATTGCCTGAGTTGACCGAGCGGAAGCAAATCATCGACAAGCACACGAATATTGCTACTGTTTTGCTTGGGGAGATTAAAGAAAGATCCCTTGATTCATATGCGAAGAAGGTGAACGAGATAATGTCTAGAGGTGGCATTGATCGGAATGAGCTTTTGGACTTGCTTAGAGGTAAAGGCACTAAGATGGACAAGCTTCGGTTTGCTATCATGTATCTAATCTCTTCTGAAAACATTAATCAATCGGAAGTTGAAGCAGTGGAAGAGGTTCTAAAGGAGTTGGAAATTAACACTAGTGCATTTCAATATGTAAAGAAGATGAAATCATTGAACGTCTCATTTGCATCTGCAAATTCCACTGGCAAGGGAAACATTGTCAATTGGGCTGAAAAGCTATACGGACAATCAATTAGTGCTGTGACTGCTGGTGTAAAAAATCTATTATCTAGTGATAGGCAACTTGCATTAACAAGGACTGTGGAGGCTTTGATGGAGGGAAAACCAAATCCTGAAATTGATTCGTATCTCGTTCTCGATCCTCGTGCTCAAAGGTCAAGTGCTGGAACAAGCAGCAGCCATTTAAAAGGACCTTTCAAGGAAGCGATCGTATTTATGATTGGCGGGGGTAATTACATAGAGTATGCAAGTCTGCAGGAACTTTCCCTGCGTCAGCATCCTCCGAAGCATGTTGTATATGGTACAACAGAAATTCTAACTGGAGAGGAGTTTGTAGAGCAGCTTATGCTGTTGGGGCAGAAGATGGGGTTGGGCAGTGCTTCTGTATCCTCAAGTAATTAGTTCATACCCTTAGTCTAGAATTCTAAATCAGTAATTTGGAGTTAGTTTTTGATTCAGTGGTGGAGTTCTAATCTGTCAGTCATATAGAACGCACGGTTTACTATTGATCTATACTTGACCCTCGAGCAGCCTGCGTGATCCCAAGTTGGTCACCTCTGAGCCTCTTGGAAATTCTTCTTTCTTAGATAGGGTAGGTTCAGTCGATTCGAAGCAAAAGTAGAGGTTCGATGAGCAAGACCCGTCTAACAAAACCAATTTTGCTGTCTGCAGCTTGAAGGAATGAACTTACTGAGTACGTCAACTCGACATTTTGTTACGTATTACACACATATATGAAGCCTTCCTTGCTTAGTAGTTCCATTTTTATTAACATTTATGCTTCACGCGTTATTTTGTTTAGGACAAGTAAAGAACAGAAAGTACATTATATTTATATACATGGCTTATTAAATCCCATTCCATCTTATTTGCTACTAACGTTCTTGATCATACAAAAATATTACTCGACTCCCTAGCAATGATGGAAGCGACCCATTTAAGGACAAAAACCAAATGAGAGCATGAGAAATTTGATACCATAAATCACAACTCTTAGTATGTTCCAACTTGGAAATTACTGTGCAGGAACCACCATGGACCATTTTTTGAAAGCAATCTGCATAACAAAACAACCGCATGGAAGTTATAAATGTTTGTAGAGAAGAATCACATGAAAATTAGGGATCAATGGTCTATCATCTATCTGAATTCCAGAGCTTAACATTGACTATCCCTTTCAGTATCATGATAAAATGCATCCAAGGATAGAATTAGAATGCAAGCACTACTGCATAATTTTGCCATCTAACTACTTAGTTATGAGCTAAAAACTATTGGTAGCATCACATTTCGAACTTCAATCTTGCATATTGATGACCTATCATCATAAGATTTGCTCATTCTATGTGATGAACTTTTGGTTGTCAGGTCCTTCAAGAATGAAAACAAGTACAGGATCTATTTCTATAGGCTATACAGTTGTTTCCTTGAGTTCAAGAGCGAGATTGTACCTGGCAAAACCAGCTACAGTACGCAAGCCCATAAAGAGTGTCAAGCCTAGCCATGTCCTATAGAGACCAAAGCTGGAAGGAGCATAAAGCATAACGCAGGAAGAGACTGTTCCAATCACCACCTAATATAACCAGCAAGTTTGTCTTCACTTTGGAGATAAGGATACTTCATTTTAGTGATCTTTACTATGAAGGAAAATGTTTACCGTTGACCAAGCTGCATACGGGAAGTCCGAAACACCATAATGCAAACCATCAAAGAGAATTGCTAGAGGAATCAAAGGTTGAGCGCCACTTACAAACTGTACAAGATTCAATGGAAGCATTCTGTGAGCCACATATATGAAAACGTTCAACCTAGTAAGGACGAGTTCTGTTCAAAACGAAACTGCATAACTTACCAGCACTCCCTTTCTAAGAATTTCCAACACTTGAGGATCCTTGGTGAACAAAGGGGCCAAAGAATGAAAAGATGCTCCAAGGACTGCACATAATATGATACCTGCGAGCAAGCCTACCTGAACCAAAATCCATATAAAACTTGTTCATTTGTTGAAACGTCAAGTTTCAAAAGACTTCCAGTGGGAATGTAGAGACACAAATACACAAATAAAATGAAATTGTACCTTTATGGCTAAGCTTGCAACTTTCTTTGCAGTCTTATAATCTCTTTTTGATGCAGCACTCGCAACTATAACCTATCAGTGTACGCAATTTCAATGTCAAGGAGAAAAACAGATAAAGCCGTGGTGAGAACATCCTCAATTTCGGACTTCATTATTTCAAAAAATGTTTACCTGACTAGAAGTAGCAAGAGCTTCAGTAAGAGTAGTTACTGCTAACCATACTTGCATACATATTTGATGTGCAGCCATAGGTACTGCACCTTGACGAGTGACCATTGACATCGCTACTGTCATGGTCGTTAGAACGGAAAGAGTCCTTCCAAAGAGATAACTACCTAATGGCAGGTACACATCTAATCAAACTATGGAAATCAATGGCTATTGAGTCTATTGGTTTATAGATTTGTTCCAAAACAAATTTCTCTAAAATGTTGATAGCAATTGTGTTTGACAACATTTTTTCTTCTTCTATTAAGTTCACTTTTTAAAATAGTATGATTTAGATGAAAGAATATAAGGCAAGCTAAGAAAAAGGAAGTCAAGCTAAAGAAGAGGGGCTCTTGTTAAATAAAATGAGACTTGAGAAGTTATTACAAGAGCCTTGTCACCAAAACCGATAGAGAAACATGAAATCTCTTGAGCGTTATTTCTCTCCTCCTATAAACCTTGCAGGATTGCACCAGTTCAAGCCCACCGTTAGTTGATATTATCCGCTTTTGTCTATTACGTATCTCCGTCAGTTTCTCGGTTTTAAAACACGTCTACTAGAAAGAAGTTTTTACATCCTTATAAGGAATGCTTCGTTCCCCTCTTGAACCGATGTGGGATCTCACAATCCACTCCCTTTGGGGGCCCAGCGTCCTCGCTGACACACCGTCGGTGTCTGGCTCTAATACTATTTATAACAGCCCAAGCCCTCCACTAGTCAATATTGTATGTTTTAGCCCATTACTTATTGCCGTCAGCCTAACGATTTTAAAATGTGCTAGGAAGAGGTTTCCACACCCTTATAAAGAATGCTTTGTTTCCCTCGCCAACCGATGTGAGATCTCACACCCCCATTTTTCATAAAAACCTCCCCTTCTCTCGAAAAGGCCGGTGGAAGAGAGGTCTGTGAGCGTCTCCTTGTGTCTATTCTTTGCAAAGAAACGAAGTCCAATTTTGGTCAATGCATGGTAAGAAAAGCTCAAGAGATAATTCCCAATAACATATTTTTGTTCTTATCAATCTTTCTCCCTAGTATGAAGTAGAAGAAGAAAACAGTTCTGAAATTACCAGATTTCATATATTCACCAAATTGCAGTGCACCAAACTTTGGCGATAGCAGTACAACCCTTTTGTTTAAAAACCATATCATTAGAAAAGCAATAACATATCTGAAACATGAACACAACTCATTAGAATTTGGAGACCATAAGAGAACACATAAGAAGATCAGTTGGAAAGTTAACATACTGAGATACTACAAAGGAAATTGCTGCTCCAGTTGCGCCCAATTGAAAATAGTAAATCAATAGTGGAAAAAGACAGACAGCCAAAAAGTTGCCAATTCCTGCCAATTAATACCAGATCATGCCCAAAAACGAATAAGAGTCTAAAAAATGAGGTTAAACTATGAGTTTAATACTAAACTTTATAAAGCGTTTTCAAGTCCTACTTAAACTCTATTGGATATTTGTTACCGTTCGAGGACTTATTGGATACGAACATAAGAGCTTCAAGACTAAACCAAGACTAAACCGGGAAGTAACCACAAAAAAGGAATTACTAAAACACAAACTTTCGCATTAATATAAATCTAAGTGTGATAGATAGATAGATGCATGCCTAGACATAGAACAAGAGTTTTGGTATCCTTAAACCCCCTAAAAACTCCTTGAAGAGTCAAATAAAGAGCAACGGCAGGAGCACCAAGGGCTCTAAGTGTGAGAAATTTTTGGGCTTGAATGCGCAAAGATGACCCCTGTTAAGACAAGATAAACCAACCTTCTCAAAAAGGGTCAAAAAGATAAAGGAACAATAATAATAAAAAAAAAAACATTGATTATATATAAGTTAGTCAGTAATCTTTTAAGTTTGTGTCAAATAAGTTCTCGAGCCTTCAACTTTGTGTTTAGTAGCTTTGTCTTCTATCCAACACTTTTAAAATTCACAAATCAAGCTTGGAGGCTCGAGGACTTACTAACACAAGACTAGTTTAGTACTTTTAGGAGTTCATGAATCTATTTGACACGAACAAAAAGGTTTATAACTCAACTTGTATCTAACCTAAAACTCTCGAGAGAAAATAGAGGAAACCAAACAAATGCTTACACAAGGAATACTCATGGCATTCAGAAGAATTCCAGATCCAAAGTAAAGGATTAAAGCCTCAAAAACTCCAACTCCAAGTGCCAGCACAAGAGCTGTAGAAACTGAAGATAAGTGCTCTCTCTGCACAGAATCTGGTTCCATGAAAAGTGGATTTGAGAATGGTATGAAAGTTGTGAAAGAAAAAAAAGTAGAAACAAAAGCATTGGAAGAGAACCTAAAGAAGGATGTTGGAGGCCATGTTTTGAAATGTCCTCAGCAACAAAGGAAGTAGCTACACTTAGTAGAGGGACATTAAAAAGCTTTGAAAGGTAGTTAAATATGTTTATGGAAACACCAGCTGAAGCCAACTCCAAGGCACCTGCACAAACGTTCAAAAAATGAGCATATATGAACAACAATTATCTTAAATTGATTCAACTTTTTCGTGTTTAAAATCATAGTTTATCGAACATTAATATACTTCATGTTGCATAGGAACAACGTAAGAGCTACAACAATTCTATTCTAAGCCTTCATCTAGTATATGAAAAGTGTCACTTGATGACAGGGATTTCCATTAGAAGAATTTGAGATTCTATAGTTTAGGTACTCTCGTTTTAGGAAGACCTGAACAAGGAAACCTAACGAATGTTAGATGCAAAGCCCCACACCTCGTTAAGATCATATTGGCATACTCTAAAAAGTAAACTCCATTGAAGACGAGAGGTGTTTAGCCTAACGAATCGAAACTAGGGATGGATCAAGGTAGTTTGCCTGTCAAACTGAGAGGCGAAGGGAAAAAGGATAGAGCATACAAAGGAGCCATAAATGCCCAACTTATAATTTACCCTGTAAACTAATGGTTACATAGCCAGCATCTTAACAGATCAATCAAGTAAACATACATGAAGTCAATTGACTTTTGTTTAGTGGATAAAACATCATATTACCATCCTAGCGGTCGGTAGTTCAACTCTATCAACCCTTCACCGAACGATCATCGAGGTAAATGAAAAAAAAAAAAAAAAAAAGTAGAGAAAAGGGGGAAAGAAGAAGGCATGCCTAATTTTCCAACAGAAGCAGTCTCCAAAAGCTGTCCAGCCAAGAGCATAGCTTGTCCAGCCATTGCAGGTAGACACAGAACTACAAGTTCATATTTAACATCATCCCCAGATTGTTCATCATAATTTCCATTTTTTCCCCAAACCCTGCATTGCAAACATCACAAGTTCATATTTAACATCATCCCCAGCTTAAATACTGCAATATAATCGATCAATCTTTTTATATTTTGTTTATCAACCCTTTCTATTAACTGCCGTTTAATTGAGTTTCACACATGCAGATTCACCTGATCATTAATAGATTAAAAAAAAAAAGAAATTAAAGGTTTAATTGCAACAGTAAGTAAGCAATCCTAATGATTTAGAGAATTATTATTAGTGAATGTTGGAATTTGAAAAAGAAAAGGTNAAAGGTCAAAGTGAAGAGGGTTCAAATTTGGAGATAACTCCCATTAGTTGCATGGATTGAGATACGTCCAAGAAGTGTTATGAGTCAGTCATAAATGTTCCACAAATGATCCAAAATGTTCATCACAACCAAAGTGTCTCAATACACTTAATTGCATGCAAGTTTTGAGTTATCTCCAAATCTGAACGGTCCCCATTTTTACCCTTTTTTTTTTTTAATTTTTTTTCGTTTTTTTTTTAATAATCTTATCTTATCCGTTTTCTGTTTTTTTTTTTTTCTTTTTTATATTCTTGTTCCATATTTATTTCAATATTTTGTTTTAATTTTATGTTAAATTAATAAAAAATACTTTTATTAAAAATATTTTTTAAAAGTTTTAATAATACTTTTTTTATCTTTAGTGGGACAAAAAAAAAAAAACTTTAAAAAATATACGTTTAACTTTCTGTTAAAAAAATGTTTTTGAGCTTCCAAAAATACCCTTCTATATATATATATTTTTTTTTTGAAGAATTTTTTTAAGTAATATTAATACCTTAGATAATTTATAAGAGGTAAATAGATTAGTTTCCGTTAATACTATTTTGTTAATTTTTTTAAAAAATTCAAAAGTATTTTTAAAAATAATATAAAAATATCAAATCCATGGTCAAAATAAATTGCTTACCGTTTTCGGGTAAAATAGTCTTTTGATTTAATCATAGTTTAACCTTAAAGTTATACCAAAAAAAGAAAAAGAGAAAAATATATATTTTTTAATGAAAATGTTGATGTAAATCTGGATTAAAAAAAAATTAAAGAAATTTATAAATATTTTTTTAAAAAATATTTAAATTAAAAATTCAGAATTAAATTCTTACACGGTGGCGCTGTTCCTATCGCGGGAACCACCTTCTTCTTCTTCTTCGTAGAGACTGTCGCTGAACCGATTACTAATGGCATTCCGCCGGCCGGCGAATAGAGGGCCAATAAGATCCTTGTGAAGTCCGGCAGACAACTTTCCGGTTCCGTTAGGTTTTTCCGAAATCGTACGACGAAATCGGGAACAGAAATCGACAGCATGTCTCGGGCCTAGAGCTGAAGAACAATCCAACATTCTTCTGCGATTTAGGGCTATTCGAGGAACTGTGAGCTCGGTGAAATGACAAGAAGCAGCCATTGATGATGTCGATTAATGGAAATCCTACGAAGGATTGATCGGTGGTTGAATGGAGAGGGAAATGGAATGGGAAGTTTGAATGAGCGAGGAGAAGGCGAGAGGTCAGATAAACCATGCAATGGTGGAAGGAGTTGCTTGGTGCCACAAAGCCCCCTTGATTTTTATAGGGTTCTGGAGGGGCTATGTGGCAGCAAGTTCAATGAAACAGTAGAACTACAAAATTTGCTGACCTTCACTGAAAATGTTGGCAATTCCTAGTCTCCTCCATGATTTTGTTCCCTTTAATGGAAAAAAGGACGGTCGTTTTCATATTACTGACAACTATGGAATACTTTTTTAATCGATAGTGTTGTATAACCGAAGTTGAGGTCGACCCTTGAGATTGATGGTGTCACCCATGTGAACCTTTGAGACCGTCCTCCAAGAAAGGGTTCCCAAAGGTAACTAAATGGATGAGAAGGTTAAGTCGGTCAAAGATCTATTTGAGAAACAGTTCGACTCAGCAACTATCCAACTTTGTAACCACTTATCATACTTAACATACTATGAATATTACAATAAGATTGTACGATTTCTAAACCACCCTGTAAAGAATGACATTCACACGTTACTCTCTATCTATAATAGAGTAATGACCCAAATCCACCGCTAGCAGATATTGTCCTCCTTGAGCTTTCCTTTTTAGGTTTCCTCTCAAGGCTTTAAAACGCGTCTGCTAGGAAAAGGTTTTCACACCCTTATAAATGGTGGCCTGTTCTCCTCCCCAACAAATGTGGGACATCACAATTACTAACTCGATGACTAACTCATGTATCATAGTGTACGTGGCTTTGGCACTAGATCATTGTTCAACAACATGAATGGGGTTGAATTTGGTTAAATTACAAGTTTAACCTCCAAATCTCATTCTTAACGAATATATTGGAGATGAAAATTTGTAATCAAGTTTCGATTTCAATCTGTTCTTAATGAAAGGACTCATTTCATTGATGGAAAAAATTGTGGGAACTACAACTTGTAAGGCTATAGAATTAGAAAAGAGTCTAAACTGATGAACAATAAGAACTCTGAAGCTATAAGAAGAGAGTTATGGGGATGTTTGAACCTTGGTATTCTGGAGATCACTGTGCAGAAACCCCCATGGACCATTCTTGGAAAGTAATCTGCATAATCCAACAATAAATGGAAGTTACAAGCTATGCAGAGAATCATTGGAGAAGCAGATTCCCAACCGAAAAGTACCCACTAGACAAAGAAACATACTTTCGAGCTAAATATGAAGTTAAATTAATCGTAGTTCTCCACAATTTCGTGGCACCGGACGTGGCTGAACCATCTACAATGGGTTTCTAATAGCCGTTCAAAAACTACCCACCAGACAAAGAAACATGCCTTCGAGCTAAATATGAAGGTAAATTAATCGTAGTCTCAACCATTTCATGGCACCGGACATGGTTGAACCATCTACCATGAGTTTCTATTAGTCATTCAAAAACTACCCACCAGACAAAGAAACATACTTTCCAGATAAATATGAAGCTAAATTAGTCATAGTTCTCAACCATTTCGTGGCACCACAGACGTGGCTGAACCATCTACAATGAGTTTCTAATAGTCATTCAAAAACTACCCACCAGACAAAGAAACATACTTTCCAGCTAAATATGAAGCTAAATTATTCGTAGTTCTCGATCATTTCGTGGCACCGGGCGTGGCTAAACCATCTACGATGGGTTTCTAATAGTTTCTAATAGTGTGCCGAAGATGCCAAACAAGGAGTTTTCAATAAGGAAATTAAGAAACATCATTCAAAAGGCATCACTTCTCTAACAATCTTCAGGCAAGTTCTCCATTATCTTAAATCATTCATAATATTATAACACGTTTCGCCCGAGCCCTTTACGGGCTATGTCGCTCTAAAAATCATTCAGTTGAGAGAATGAAAGCAAAAGTGTGAGATTCTACCTGAAAAAACCAGCAGCAGCACGCAGGCCCATAAAGAGGGACAAGCCCAACCACAGCCCACGAAGACCCAAAACAGAAGAAGCATACACCAAAACGGAAGAAGAGATAGCCCCTACCACCATCTACAGTTCATTAACAATATCAATCAAGATCATATCTGCTAGAGAATGAATTTTCAGTCATGATTTCAATTAAAGAAACTGCTTACCATTGAGTAAGCAGCATATGAGAAGTCTGAGATACCATAATGCAGACCATCAAAGACAAATGCCAGAGAATTCAAAGGTTGAGTCGCACTAACAAACTGTAGAAGTTTCATGAAACCAAATAGTAGGAGGGTTCACAATTTATCACAGAAACACTTGAGAAATTAATAATAATTTCACTTAGCTTACCAAGACTCCAGTTCTAACAATTCCTAAAACGTCAGAATCCTTGGTGAACAAGGTGGCAAGCGAACCGAAGGATAGCCCAAGAATTGCAAATAATATGGTACCTGCGAGCAATCCTATCTGTACGGTATAGACAAATTCATATGAAGCTCGACGTCTATTTCACGGGTTATATATAGCTCAAAAACGTCTCATCGTATGTGAAGACAGGAAAGGGTAGAAATTCAAATCTGCACATAAAAATTCTACCTTCAAGGCTAGGCTTGTCACTTCCTTTGCAGTCTTGTAATCACCTTTCGATACGGAGCTAGCAATCATGGCCTACCAAGATAGATAATTCAAAGATCAGAGAGAAAGCAAATAAAGACGTCATCGTTAGAAACCTCAATTTCTTACATCACGATTAGGAGATAGGACGAAACCATAAAGAAATTGGAACTTCATTACTTCAGTAACCAATTTTGTACTGTAGCTTTGTACTTAAGATCGAATTTCAGAAGGTTTTAGCCTTGCATTTCATTCTCAGCTCAAAAGAATGCTTGCTTAGTTTTGCATGCTCTTAACAATACAATGGATTTTCTAATAAAATAAAATATTTTTATGGAATAAGGGTTTGCACAAAAGATAACTGCTTGATAAGGGTATAAATAATGAAGGACAAGACAAATAAATGTACTTTTTTTATATCCGTGAGTGTCTGTGCCAGATTGCACACACCACGACTATTCTCACAGGACTAACTAATCCTACTACATTTGGTTGCCAAGGTAACTCGTAGGATATTAAATCCTTAATCGCTGTCGCCATGGTATGTCCTTTGTTATTTACATGGCCCTTGACCACAAGGCCAACCCATGATAGTTAAATAGATGTTTTTAGTATTAGTATTTCTTATAAAGAGAATGAGCTAAAACGAAGAAAAAAAAAAGTATGTACCTGACTTGAAGCACTAAGGGCATCAGTTAGAAGAGATACTGCTAACCATACTTGCATACATATTTGGTGTGCAGCCACAGCCACCGCACCTTGACGTGCAGCCATGGATGTACCCAACGTCATAGTAGTTAAAACAGAAAGAGTCCTTCCAAGAAGAAAACCACCTAATAGCAGACTCCAAATCATTAGATTATTAAAAGTGAGAGATCTTGATCATATAACATAGCCAGGAAAACCATAGATATAGCATAAAGTTTGATTGATCATTTTCCTTAAATGCAGCATTGATCTAATTGCATAGGTTCCAGCTTTCTTTGATTTTGATTAATGTGATATGTACGACTATTTTGAAGTTTACGAGACGTGAATAATTCTAGAATATACAGAAAATTCAAATTTTCAAGGATGAACATTTCGGAAAACAAAATTAAAGATAGATAACCAAAGTTTAATCAGTGGCTTTTAAGTCTAAGGTTTCAGAGTTTGGCTTAATACCAATGACTATAAAGTGACGACTCAAAAATTTGCAACAGACCTCTCTTCTAAACAGTCTGCTGTTATTAGTGAAGATGGGCAAACTGAAGCCAGTGCTGGGCATTGCTTTGTGACTAAAGCATAATGAAAAGATTACTCCCAGGAACATAACACTAGTAATAATAAAAATTTTACAAGATATGAAGTAAAAGAAGATGAGAATTCTGAGATTACCAGATTTCATGTATACACCAAATTGCAATGCACCGAACTTCGGCGGCAATAGTACAGCTCGTTTATTGAGAAACCATAACATCAAAAAGGCAATAACATATCTGAAACATATACTGGATAAGTTTGGAGGCTATGATAAAGAATACAGGAAGAAGAGTTATTAGAAGGGAACATACTGAGACAAAACGGTAGAAATTGCTGCTCCAGTTGCACCCAATTGAAAATAATAAATTAACAAGGGAAAAAGACAGACAGCTAGCAAATTTCCAATTCCTGTGAATCAAGAACAAAAATTTAAGCAGGAAGATGTAGTACAAAGAAAGAACATAATAGAGAAAATGCTTAGAAATAAATTCCACCATTAACATAATTCTAGGTTTCATGACTAGATGCGTGCCTAGACAAAGAACAGGAGTTTTGGTATCCTTGAAACCCCGAAAAACTCCTTGAAGGGTCAAATAAAGAACAACAGCAGGAGCACCAAGGGCACGAAGTGTAAGGAATTGTTGGGATAGAATGCGCAAGGACGACTCCTGTTAACAAAATAAACCAACATATTCATAAGATCCTAGAGATAAAGAATCTTAATAAATTTACTCTATCTAATCAGTTCCAACAATATGTCTATAACATAAGTGAGATAGCATATGGAAACATTAACGTAAATGTAAATCAGCAGATCGAAGCATGACATAAACTGGCTTCCAATTTTACTTACTGAAGAAATCCCCATGATGTTAAGAAACACTCCAGATCCAAAATACAATGCTAGAGCCTCAATAAGTCCAATCCCGACTGCCAACAATAGGGCAGTAGAAACTGAAGATAGCTGCTTTCTCTCCGATAACCGCGCAACTAGTTTCTCATCAGTACAGCCTTCTAAGGAATCTACTTGCATGAAAAATTCAAAATATAAGTTTGAAAGCAACTAGTTTTCCATCAGTACAGCCTTTTAAGGCAAAAATTTGTACAATCCAAAGCCAAAAGAAGAACCTGATGAAGGATCTTCAATTGCATTCTTTGAGATATCCTCAGCAACAAAAGAAGTAGCAACACTCAGTAGAGGTATATTAAAAACCTTTGATATATAGTTAAATATGTTTATAGAAATGCCTGCTGAAGCCAACTCCAAGGCACCTGCCATATGTTGAAAATGGACAAGTATGAAAACACTAGAAAATACTGCAATACAGAAATAGCATTTACTCACTTCAGCTGCTGACAGGAAGAAGTGCGGGAAAAAGATTAATACGACTTACACCCAATAAACAGGGCCCGTCCCAATTGATTACAGAAGGATGTTAGCATCCAAGAATTCCCATTAAATTCATAGTCCAACAGCTTAATTGATGCAAAAGAAGACATCAGAAAGCAATCCGAAAACACACATGAACATGAATCAAGGTTTTCAAATAAAGGATCTCTATCGAAAATAAATTTAAATAACTTAGCCACTTCAAACTAAGGTTGTCCATACAAATGTACAACTCCACAACCCAAAAATATGCAGTCCACTTCAAGCTAAGTTTGGGTCACAGTTATTCACAGTATTGAAATCAAAGAAAAACTCAAACCAAATGAAACACAGAAAATAAATGAACAAAATAAGCAGACTAACTTAAGCACAATTTGAATGATATATATATATATATATANTTAGTATTAGTATTTCTTATAAAGAGAATGAGCTAAAACGAAGAAAAAAAAAAGTATGTACCTGACTTGAAGCACTAAGGGCATCAGTTAGAAGAGATACTGCTAACCATACTTGCATACATATTTGGTGTGCAGCCACAGCCACCGCACCTTGACGTGCAGCCATGGATGTACCCAACGTCATAGTAGTTAAAACAGAAAGAGTCCTTCCAAGAAGAAAACCACCTAATAGCAGACTCCAAATCATTAGATTATTAAAAGTGAGAGATCTTGATCATATAACATAGCCAGGAAAACCATAGATATAGCATAAAGTTTGATTGATCATTTTCCTTAAATGCAGCATTGATCTAATTGCATAGGTTCCAGCTTTCTTTGATTTTGATTAATGTGATATGTACGACTATTTTGAAGTTTACGAGACGTGAATAATTCTAGAATATACAGAAAATTCAAATTTTCAAGGATGAACATTTCGGAAAACAAAATTAAAGATAGATAACCAAAGTTTAATCAGTGGCTTTTAAGTCTAAGGTTTCAGAGTTTGGCTTAATACCAATGACTATAAAGTGACGACTCAAAAATTTGCAACAGACCTCTCTTCTAAACAGTCTGCTGTTATTAGTGAAGATGGGCAAACTGAAGCCAGTGCTGGGCATTGCTTTGTGACTAAAGCATAATGAAAAGATTACTCCCAGGAACATAACACTAGTAATAATAAAAATTTTACAAGATATGAAGTAAAAGAAGATGAGAATTCTGAGATTACCAGATTTCATGTATACACCAAATTGCAATGCACCGAACTTCGGCGGCAATAGTACAGCTCGTTTATTGAGAAACCATAACATCAAAAAGGCAATAACATATCTGAAACATATACTGGATAAGTTTGGAGGCTATGATAAAGAATACAGGAAGAAGAGTTATTAGAAGGGAACATACTGAGACAAAACGGTAGAAATTGCTGCTCCAGTTGCACCCAATTGAAAATAATAAATTAACAAGGGAAAAAGACAGACAGCTAGCAAATTTCCAATTCCTGTGAATCAAGAACAAAAATTTAAGCAGGAAGATGTAGTACAAAGAAAGAACATAATAGAGAAAATGCTTAGAAATAAATTCCACCATTAACATAATTCTAGGTTTCATGACTAGATGCGTGCCTAGACAAAGAACAGGAGTTTTGGTATCCTTGAAACCCCGAAAAACTCCTTGAAGGGTCAAATAAAGAACAACAGCAGGAGCACCAAGGGCACGAAGTGTAAGGAATTGTTGGGATAGAATGCGCAAGGACGACTCCTGTTAACAAAATAAACCAACATATTCATAAGATCCTAGAGATAAAGAATCTTAATAAATTTACTCTATCTAATCAGTTCCAACAATATGTCTATAACATAAGTGAGATAGCATATGGAAACATTAACGTAAATGTAAATCAGCAGATCGAAGCATGACATAAACTGGCTTCCAATTTTACTTACTGAAGAAATCCCCATGATGTTAAGAAACACTCCAGATCCAAAATACAATGCTAGAGCCTCAATAAGTCCAATCCCGACTGCCAACAATAGGGCAGTAGAAACTGAAGATAGCTGCTTTCTCTCCGATAACCGCGCAACTAGTTTCTCATCAGTACAGCCTTCTAAGGAATCTACTTGCATGAAAAATTCAAAATATAAGTTTGAAAGCAACTAGTTTTCCATCAGTACAGCCTTTTAAGGCAAAAATTTGTACAATCCAAAGCCAAAAGAAGAACCTGATGAAGGATCTTCAATTGCATTCTTTGAGATATCCTCAGCAACAAAAGAAGTAGCAACACTCAGTAGAGGTATATTAAAAACCTTTGATATATAGTTAAATATGTTTATAGAAATGCCTGCTGAAGCCAACTCCAAGGCACCTGCCATATGTTGAAAATGGACAAGTATGAAAACACTAGAAAATACTGCAATACAGAAATAGCATTTACTCACTTCAGCTGCTGACAGGAAGAAGTGCGGGAAAAAGATTAATACGACTTACACCCAATAAACAGGGCCCGTCCCAATTGATTACAGAAGGATGTTAGCATCCAAGAATTCCCATTAAATTCATAGTCCAACAGCTTAATTGATGCAAAAGAAGACATCAGAAAGCAATCCGAAAACACACATGAACATGAATCAAGGTTTTCAAATAAAGGATCTCTATCGAAAATAAATTTAAATAACTTAGCCACTTCAAACTAAGGTTGTCCATACAAATGTACAACTCCACAACCCAAAAATATGCAGTCCACTTCAAGCTAAGTTTGGGTCACAGTTATTCACAGTATTGAAATCAAAGAAAAACTCAAACCAAATGAAACACAGAAAATAAATGAACAAAATAAGCAGACTAACTTAAGCACAATTTGAATGATATATATATATATATATATATATATATATATATATATATATATATATATATATATATATATATATATATATATCTACTGAAAAGAATCAAATAGGACAGGGTAACGATGAAAGAAAAGAATCAGGGAGTTGTTCTATAACATGGAAACTAAAAATAAAGACTATTGGCCATTTGAAGATACATGCCTAATCTTCCAATATAAGCAGTCTCCATAAGCTGTGCAAATGGTTCGATAGCTTGTCCAGCGATTGCAGGCACACATAGAGCTAAAAGCTCACGCTTAACATCCAGAGGCTGTTGCTGATATTGGGAAGGTTCTTTCCACTGCCTGCTTGGAAGTAAGAAAAGTCAACCATTTAAACAACCTGTCAAATTTCATAAGATACTTTCTAAAGCAATCGAAAAAGGAATGCTAAAGAACAATCTATGATAATTCAGCTAAGATGGAGGTATCTTGAATTCTTACACTGCACCATTCTGATCCCTTGAACTGGCATCATCTTCTTCTACATACAAACTTTCCTCCACTCCGGAAGAATCCACCCCATAATCTGAGCTCAACTCATTCCTAGCCATGATAAAACCGGCATTTCTTCGGTGTACAACAGGTGAAGTAAACAGATAATTGTGTCGAAAACTCGCGGATAAATGCCAATTTCCAACTCCATTTCGATTCCGTAAAACCTTGCTACTAATTTGAGAAGTAACTCGAACATCCCTACACTTCAATTTTAAAAATGACAATGTCTTGTCAGGAATTACTTGCTGTTTCCCTACTATTCTAGCCAAACCATTCGAAACTGTCCCGTCACTGACTTGGCAAGCCATTTCCAATTTAAGGTCTGCAAATTCGCGCGTAAATGGTAAACGTAAGCAATAAGAAAACGCTTGAACGTAGAATTTATGAACAAACAAACGGAGATTAAAAAAATAATAATAATAACTCTTGATGTTCATCTCATTTTCATAATCTACCCCACAACGAACCTAGTAAAATCCATAGGCAAATAGAATTCGAAGCAAGAAAAACAGAGCAACAACTGCAAAACATAAAATAAAAACAAAAAAAGTAAACCCACAAAATGAAAACAGGATCAATGAAGATTAAAACAAGTACCCAACAGAAATGAGAAGGAAATGATTCAGAAACAAGAATTAACAAAGCATGAATATCCAGAAAGCCAACAGATCAAATATATGGTGTTGGAGTATAGAAACACTTGCCTTGCCGATAGCCCAAATCAAGTTAGGGTTTCAGGAGGAGAATTCCAAGGAAGATGACGAAAACGAACACTGAATTTCAATCTGGAAGGGAAGCGCGAAGGCACAGAGGAATAAGAAAATTCGTGTCAAATGGGAAGAGAAGTGAAAGGAAAGCTCCAAATTATGTCGAACGTATTACAAAAATATTCGCACCGAACGGAGCCATCAAGATTAAAGTTCTTTTTTTCTTTTTTCTTTTTTTTTTTATAGTCCGAAAATTCCTTTAAAAAAAAAAGAAAAAAAAGAAAAAAACTTAAAATTGTTAGAAATAAAAATTATAAAAATAGTTTGAAATAATAAGAAGAATATATATATATATATATATATATATATATATATATATTTTTTTTTTTTTTTTTTTTTTTTTTTTTTTTTTTTTTTTTTTTTTTTTTTTTTTTTTTTTTTTTTTTTTTTTTTTTTTTTTTTTTTTTTTTTTTTTTGTTACGATATTATATAAAAAAATTTATATTATCAATAAAATTTTGTTAAATTATAATTTAATTTTGAAACTTCTAAAATTTAAAAATATTTAATTTTGTATTTAATTAATTTTTATAACATTAAGACAATTGAAATGGTTTATGAAAGGTTAGATATAATAAAAAATTTATTAAATACGAAATTTAAAGTTTAGAAATTTATTAAATATTTTAAAATTTATGAACTTAAAAATGAAAGATTTTTAGTTTTTAAGTGAATGGTCAGATGAATATTTTTCAACAAAGCGATAATCATTTGTAAAATTATTGATTGAAAACGAAATGAAATTTTCATGCTACAAATTCTATGAGATTCAAGAAGCCTTTACAATCGTACTATAAAACGACCCTCGAGATCGTATAAGTTGAGCCGATGAGTTAAGTTAGCTCGAGGCAACCTTGAGGTTGTAGAGTTAGCTGATTGTCCCAACCTCAAGAACATCCAACCTAAGCCAACTTCTGCCGAACATGTGGTTGCATCTAGAACAGAAGCCGCCACTGCATTTGCTACTCTTTCTCTTGCCAAGGGTCTGCATGACTCAACCATCTCGAACCATCGCCAAGTTCAAGTACATCTACAAGCAGAACAAGGTCTATTAGACCTATGCTCGAGAGGGGGATAAGACCGTCAAGAGAATCTTTCTTTTCGTTTCTCTAAAAAATCTTGTACCAACGAAGAAAACTATCCTAATTTATGTACACATGATCACTCCCTTCCCTAACCAATGTGAAACTTTGCTAAAACTCGAGATTACACAAAACTAGTGAACTCACGCTACAAAACAACCCAACAAAAATTATCGATGTTTAAACTCACGTCTCGGTAGCTTTGGGTAACTACCAAAGAAAAGTCCCAACCCCAAAAGAGAACTTGAAAGATCGTCTAACATGCATAAAGGAACTTTGATCGAAATCGAGCAGCCAAGCCTAGAACGTTTTCGAATCAGGTATCAAGTTCACTGATAATTATTCAGTCATTGTATCAGAAGCTAAGGTATGAAAACAAGGGAAAATCATCATTCTTATTCCTGCAACAATCTCAGTGCACAATACAATACATTCATCAACACATTACAGATCAAAATCAAGAACATAATCAAATTCACAGCCAACTATGGATTCTAATCCAGTTCATCCTCACGATTTCTCGCCATGAACAGCTTTATTTCAACTCGATTTATTAACGCTTAACGAGAAAAAAAGGAAACTAAAAGATGGCTATTTTATGATAAATACAGAACACCAAGAATCTACCTACATTATTATGATTATCTCTCTATGGCAACATACAAGAAGGAAATTATACTTCTTACTGAATGAGAAGGGAACCAAAGCTCAGCAGATGCATAAAGACGACGAGACCGACCAAATTCAGACCTTGTGAACCCGTCCTTGAAGCGCTGTTTGGATTATCTGTGCTCATACATGATAGGAAACAGTCAGATTCTGGATGATGATTATAGTGAAGGAGAGGTGTTTAAACAAAGAATTGTGGGGCAAGGGGCTTGGTTTTTTATAGAGTTATCGGTTATCATATGAGCAGCCTAAAATATGTGTTTAGGTGGTGATGTGTAATAGCTCAAGCCCACCGCTAGCAGATATTGTTCACTTTGGCCCGTTATGTATCGCTGTCAGCCTCACGATTTTAAAACGTGTTGCTAGGGAGAGGTTTCCACACCCTTATAATAAATGTTTCATTCTCCTCTCCAACCAACGTGGGATCTTACAATCCACTCCCCTTAGGGGCCCAACGAAAACGTGTTGCTGCCACACCATCCGGTGACTGGCTCAATACCATTTGTAACAGTCCAAACCCACCGCTAGCAAATATTGTTCGCTTTGATCCGTTACGTATCACCGTCAACCTCACGGTTTTAAAATGCATATGCTAAGGAGAGGTTCTATACCCTTATAATGAATGTTTTGTTCTACTCTCCAACAAACGTGGAATCAAAAGTGCTTCTCAGCTAAGACTAAAAGCACTCAATTAGTGTTTTCTCACCAAACACTTAACAATGCTTCTAAGCTTTTTAAAAAACAAACCACATGTAGTGTTCTTTTGACATTTTTAATAGTGCTTTCATGTTGCTCTCAGACAATGATTTCGAGTAGTGAGCATTTTCTATCCATAATAAAAGTAGTAAAAGTAGGTTAAAATATCATTTTGGTCATTGTATTTTTAAACGACTTAAGTTTGCAGCTCACCTTGAGGTCCACCTTCAGGTCCAGGGCAAGTGTTCAGAGTGGAAATATTTGTGAAGATGGTTTGTTTAGAGAAACCAGCATAGGCACATGTAGTGGTGCTGCAACCAGAAGCTGTTGAGTTACCAAGGAGCAAATTGCTACCTTCACATGGCATGGCTGGGCATGTCGACCAATTTGATGATTTCTGTGAGGGTGGCTTCAGCTGTGATGGCTTACAGTCAAGACTGACAAAAAAGAAAACCAGAAAAACGCATTCAGGATTGTTCGGAGGAAGTCTCACATTGGCTAATTTAGAGGAGGATTGTCATGAGTTTATAAATAAGGAATACATCTCTGCCACGAGAGCTTATGCTCAAAGTGGACAATATCATACTACTGTGGAGGGTCGTGGTTTCAAACAAAAGGTAAGCTCACTAACTCGAGCTACCTTCAACTTAGAGCAAACAAGTTCTCAAAATAATAAGTTATTCAGTATTGGCACCACTTACATCATGTTTTTTGCAGCATCACACTCGCACAATACGCAGTTGTTCGCCGTGTAATCGTACGTGCCATTGGGGAGGAGGAATGGGAAGTCTAAAGAGTCTTGCCTGATCACAGATGAACAAGCTGCAGGTAGAATTCAGAACAGTTATCTTTCATGATAATGGCATTTGTTGAACAAAAATAAAGGAGCTTCAGAAATGATAATGATGAATTGACAAACGAAGCATATCTTCGTTGAACGGCTAGTCCGCTCGTAAGCATCTTTCAATCTCAGTCATTTAGACAATACAGTCTAGGATTAGATTGACGGAGTGAAAGTTAATAATAGTGCTTGTGTTATGAACGTGAACATTGAAGAGATGTTTGGGAGTGATTTATGCTCAAAATCACTCATTTTGTTCGTTCTAAAATCACTCTCAAACATGTCCAAAATTGTTAGGTTAGCTATTAGTAAACAAAAAATATTACCACTCAAAAAAGACAACGTAGTGAGAACGGTGAAAGTTTAAAGAATAAGTTACTCATGGAAATCTTTGTAGTGTAACGACGAATCAAATCCAAATCTCCTCGTAAAATGAGTTCGACATAACTACACAACGAACTAGCATGCTAAATGATCCAACCCGAACATGGAACAACAAAATGTAAAAACGTTCTCTATCATAGAATGACGATCTCTCTAACGACGTTCCTAGAAATATGATCAAAGTCAACAAACACATCCTTATACTTTCAATGAGTTCATCACTATGGCCCCAACAAGAAGAGCGCACCACCCTTACAAATGCTCTATTTTTAATGATGTCTTTGTTGCTTGGATGAATAAGATATAGTAAATTAAACAACACAACTTCCAAATCCCTCCACCACTAAAAAAAATTCAAATCCATCCACCACTCCACTCTGTCTGTGATCAGTTGACTTCAAATTGTTTTTACCCTCTTTGGGTTTTTTTTAGTTGACTTTGTTCATCTCTCTCTCTCTCTTCCCACTAACACAAAATACCAAAACTACCCTTCACCCACTTCTAATGGAGGACTTTCTCCCTTCCAAGAGCCAACCCAAGGGCCTGAAGACATCAGCAATATCAGGAAGCTTCTCTCTCTCTCTCTCTCTCTCTCTCTCTCTACTAACACTAATACCAAAACTACCCTTCACCCATTTCTAATGGAGGACTTTCTCCCCTCCAAGAGCCAACCCAAGGGGGTGAAGACATCAGCAATATGAGGAAGCCACTCCTCTCTCTCTCTCTCTCTCTCTCTCTCTGTACTAACACTAATACCAAAACTACCCTTCACCCAATTCTAATGGAGGATTTCCCCCTCCAAAAGCCAACCCAAGGCTCTCAAAACATCAGCAATATCAGGAAGCCACTCTCTCTCTCTCTCTCTCTCTCCANTAACACTAATACCAAAACTACCCTTCACCCAATTCTAATGGAGGACCCCCCCCCCCCTGCCTCCAAGAGCCAACCCAAGGGTGTGAAAGCATCAGCAATATCAGGAAGCCACTCTCTCTCTCTCTCTCTACTAACACTAATACCAAAACTACCCTTCATCCATTTCTAATGGAGGACTTTCTCACCTCCAAGAGTCAACCCAGGGGTGTGAAAACATCAGCAATATCAGGAAGTCACTCTCTCTCTCTCTATTTTTTCTTATAAAAAAATCTCAAAACCTATCAGTGTGACATCAAGGTGTTTGCTAATATAAAACTACCAAACAGCCTATTGTCTCAGACGTCAATATAATTTAGTACTCAAAAGTCAAGTCCAGTCATTTTCCCAAACGGAACAAGAGAACAACCAAATCCTTAATATCAGGATCAAACCATACAACCTTAAATCATTAAGGAATCTACAGACCACATATTAATAAAACAAAAATGTCTATAGGTTGACCAATGCACACACTTCGCAAAATAACAGCTTTGTTTGCTCAATCGATAAAGATTAGGCCAAACTCTTACCTTACATACATATATATGTACGTATGTATATATATATATATAGATATATGTATGTATGTATGTATATAAATATATGTGTGTGTGTGTGTGTGTATGTATGTATATATCTATACATATACATATATATATTATATATATACATACATATATGTATGTATGTATATATATATATATATATATATATTTTAATTCTCAACATTTTGACATTTGTAAAAAATCTCAAAGGTAAAAAGAGTAAATTAGGAATAAATTTAAATCTTGCTTTAATATAATTTATATTTATTAACAAATAACGACATTTTTTTAACTAAAAAAAACTTTTATTAGTTCAATCTTATTTCTAAGCACCTTAATATATATATATATATATATATATATTCTTAACATTTTAACATGTGTAAAAAATCTCAAAAGGTAAAAAGAGTAAATTAGGAAATAAATTTAAATCTATTTTTTAAAAAAATATATAATTTATATTTATTAACAAACAACAACTTTTATTGAACTAAAAAAAACTTTTATTGAACCAAAAAAGCAACTTTTATTATTTCCATTTTATTTTATAGAAGCACTTTAGAATTTTACAAAACAAAAAATAGGGTTTTAAAAAAAAAACTTTTTTAAATAGCCATTAAAAAATGTTATGGAAAATTACTTAAAATAGAGTTTTATTTATTTATTTATTATTAATATTTAAGAATACGAGAAAAGACAAGAAGCAAAAGGACTAAAAAGTAAAATCAGTTTCTCTCTCTCTCTCTCTCTCTCTTCATTCAGATGGAAAAATCTGTCAGTTTAAACCCTAAATCATACCTGGAATTAACGATTATGGATTATCTATTGAAACCATCAGAAAACAAAAGCCAAATGGATGAAGAACTTAGCCAATTAAGCCCTAACTTTGTTCAGAGTGATAAGAAATCATGTAATCAGTTTCAATTTCCACCTAAAATCGACGAGAAATTCAGAAATAAAATGAGGAAGATGAAATGAACCTTTGAGAGGAATATCAAGAACTTGAGAAGCTTTAAGATCTCTCGCATCTGCAATTCCATTCAGCTTCAAGATCGTAGCCTCCGATACATTAAACCTTGTGGCAATCGCCGATACGGAACTTCCAGATTCCACCAAATGTCCGTAATGGACGACTTTGTTCCCCTCCACATCATCGCAGCTACACGGCAGAGGAATCCACAGCTCTTGCCCTACGTTAATTTTATTCGGATCAGGAATTCCATTTGCGGCCGCGATTTGCAGGGAAGTTACGAGTCTCGCGAAAGTGATTTCCGCGATTTTGTCGAGAGTATTTCCGCTCTGGACTTTGTAAATCGGACGCTTATCGGAGAGACCAATACCGTTTTCACACTTGCAGTTGAACGGAATCTTGATCTTTTGAAACGCCGGTAAGGCAAAGCTTGACGAGATGTTCATCGGAAGGTTGTTAGACCCTAGGAAGGAGAGGAGGTGCTTGACATCGAAGAGCTTCATCACGTCTTGAACGGTGGTTGCGTTTGGCGGAATGTAGTCGATTAGAGAGCGGCATTTTGAGGTCGAGCTGCAGTTGAACCGCGGCGGTGGCTGAGCAACGCATACAGCGACGATGGCGGAGAAAACAATGACTCTGAAAAACATAGTTCCAGCTCCGGAAGCCATTAGCGCTTCTCGTCCTCGAGTTGCAAGGTTCTGGTAGGATATTAATGGCGGATTAAAGCTGGGAGTAACGCGGTTTTCGAGTGGGAAAAGTCGAAGCAGACACCGAGGGAAATGGGTACTGGTCAAGCTTCAACGTGGGTAAAGGGCATAGACCTTAGAGAGAGAAAATTAAATGGGGAATGGAGAGAGAAGCAGAAGCCGCCATTGAAGAGACTGAATGAAGCTTTTTATTGATGCTGTGAGCAATTACGGAGAAATTGCATTACGACGAAAATTCTTTTCAAATTTCAAATAAAGTCTTTTTAGGAAAATAATAATAATAAACAAAAGTACGGATGTATTTATTAATATTTTATGATATCGACTTTCTATGAATAAATTTTTCGGGACAAATATTAATAAATTGGATAAACACAAGTTTAGTCGCTTTTAACTTCATTTAATAATCATTTAATTTTTTAATTTTTTTATTGTTTCTCTACCCTAAATTTTATAAATAAAAAAAAATTAATTATATTCTAAAAAAAGAACCTCATGAAAATTTAATTTTTTTTTTAAGAATATTTAAAATAATAAAATACTAAATTATAGTTAAATTAATAAATAATAATTTTATAGACAGACTTAAAATGTTTATTATTAATGTTATATTTATAATTTATCAATTTTTTTTTTAAAAAAAGGGCAAAGAATAGTCAAGGCGGTTCACGGACGCAAGGGCTATTTAGTCTTTTCCGAAATTCGTCATTGCCACGTCACTCCCATATAATTGATAACGTTTTCACTTCTTATTTTATTTGTACAATGGATGGATGATGTGGGACCCAACTATCCATTAATATATATTAAGTTATTTGAATTATTTTTTTTAATAATGTCATGAAACTCTCAATTTTTGTATTTATTATTGTATTAAGAAAAAATAAATGATATTAGTAAAAAGTAAATCGGTCTATCATATCTTAATATTAAAAATGAAATAAAGTTTTAAAAATAAAAGAATATATAAATTAATTATAAAGATTGTAAATGAATGAAAATACTAGAGAATACAAAATTAAAATTTTTTTTATTAAGTCATTAAGCAATAAATTTAAGTTAAATTAGGTAATAAACGTGTTTTAATTATGAATTTACTTAATAATAAGTTAAGCCTAAACATATTTAAACTGAGCTGGAGAAAGAAACCACAAATTTAAAGAGTTTCAAGCATTTAACAGCAAAATTTAGGCTCTTGCAGAGCAAAACCAGGAAGCTCATTACAGAACAATGAGGTACACACAAGATAACACTCTTAATGAAGGTTTTCTGCAACTATTGAAGCTTTGCTTAACGAAACTACGTCCGGCTTGTAACTACTGAAAGAAGATATCGACTCACCTCGAGCGCGTCGTCGACGATTATTCAAATGAAATGGTTCAGGGCAGGAACCTGTTAGAGATACTTTATTTATCGTCCAATAGCTGTAGCACCGACTCGGCGAAGCTTTGTTGCCTGAGGGGATAATAAACCAAGTGATGGAGTTCTTAGGGAAGGTATGTTCATCAGCCAAAGTGGAGGATTGGAAGTCAATAAGACTAAATGATTTGGAAGATAATGGAAGATAATGGAAGAGATAGGAGGCTTACTTTCGTTCTCGGTATTTCGGGCTCGGGCGAGAGTGCTTCAAATATCCATCCCATGGGACCTTCTTCAGACCTGCTCGAGCGCAAATTATGTCCCTGATCCTGTTAAATAATGGAATATTAGTGTAACAACTCAAACTCACTGCTAACAAATATTATTTGTTTTGGCTGATTACGTATCGTCGTCATGCTAGGGAGAGGTTTCCACACTTATATAAGGAATGTTTTGTTCCCCTCGGTTTCCACACTTTTATAAGGAATGTTTTGTTCCCCTCTCCAACCGACGTGGGATCTCACAATAATTTGTAACAACCCAAGCCCACTGCCAACAAATAATGTCCACTTTAGCCCGTTACGTATCACGTCAGCCTCACGGTTTTAAAACGTGTCTGTTAGGGAAAGGTTTTCACACCCTTATAAAGAATATTTCGTTCCTTACTCCAACCGATGTGGGGTCTCACAATAATTTGTAACAGCCCAAGCCCACCGCCAACAAATATTGTCAACTTTGACCCGTTACGTATCGCCATCAGTCTCACGGTTTTACAACACGACTAATAGAGAAAGTTTCTACATCCTTTCAAGAAATGTTTCGTTACCCTCTCCAACTGACATGAGATCTCAGAATTAGACCCCATGACCGAAAGATCCTAAGCTGAACGAAGAACTGCTATCGCATTGCAGGTGGGGGAAAGCAAGGTTACCTCTCTGCAAACTCGATGGGTGTTTCTCCAGGCTTCAAAACTTGGGGCTCCAGGTACCAAACATCACAAACAACAGCCCAAGAGGTCATAAGCTGCAGCAGATGCATGGTGAACGACTGCCTGAAAAAACGAACACGGTCCAGGAATCATCTACCTCGCATAACCAATTCTATGCTAATCCATAGCAAACCTAAATACCGAATTAGAGTTATGCAGAAACATATGCAAAAACACCACCATTAATGGCACATGGACTACATTTTGGCAAATTCAATTATCATTCTAACCAAAAGAGACAGATTCAGGGCCACAGAGTTAATTCAGAATATTTGTAATAAGCAGCCACATATGAAACCCAGGCCTAAGCATGTTCTTAATTTATTTCCTGATGGAAAACTTTATTTGCAATGCAAAAAAAACTCATCAGAATCAACTCATTTTCTATGGATCATAAGTAATAATCTATAAGCTATCAGAATTTGTGGTTTCTTTAGGCTGGTATCAATGTTTCATTTCATTTTCTAAAAGCTGTTTATAATGATATTTACTGTTCATGCTTCACTCTATTTGAAGTATCTTCATCAATATCTATATCAATAAAAAACATTACTTATTTGAAAACAACATGTTTTTTAAAGTTCCTAAACAGACAACTTTTCCAACATGTTTTATGAATCCGAAAAGTATTTTCTGTCTCGTACCTTGACTATCAAACAGAAATTAAGTTTCTATCAACAAAGACTAATCAAACAAAAATCGCCTTACTTCCTGCTGTTCCAAAAAGCATCTACGAAAATTTTGTTGTATTTGATAGCAACTGGGCAAACAGAGCAGCCAAGTTCAAATGCACCCTGAAATCATTTAGTTAAAACAAATAACTAAGGTTACCAATTACATTAAAGCCTTGGTAGAAAATTTAAGAAGTACTAAAAACAATACCTTCTTGAACATAACAGAGTAGTGGTTATTTACACAAGTTCCTTCAGGAAATATAAGAAGAGGATTGTTGTCAGCCCCTTGAACGTGATCGTTTAACCTAAAAGAGAAGACGTTTCAATAAGCATTCCAATAACAATCAGTATTTACTTGTGATTCTCGTGCTCCCGTTGTATGGCGACACTTACTTCTTTGCTACAACTTCACGGTCCTTCAACTCGGTACGGTTGAACCATATACATCCAATACTCTCCAATATAGTGCTTTGCAATAGTCCTGTCATAAAGTATAGTATGACAACCAATCAGAACGAAGACGAAGACAAATATGCTTACTGGGTATCAATAGCAAGAGCGTTTCTCTCGAACTTCAATTACTTTCTCTAGACTTATTCCAACAACCTAAATCTTCATTTTATGAGTTTTTCATAATAAATGCACTCACCGACCCAACCAGGATGTTTTTGCATAATAACAGCAAAGGCAGTCATTTGCTCCAAGATTATGAAATCGATCATGGAAGTATGGTTGGCCACAAAAACCTGCTTGACCAAGAATGAGAAGACAAACAATATAGCACTGAGAACGATGCTTAACATCTCGAAAAGGGAAAATACGATAGGACATTTGTTTTGTCACCTAAAACCCCGAATACCTGCTTTGGTCTCATGCTAGGTCGTGGCCCATGATACTTGACAACTCCAGTCCAAGATGCAACAAAGAAGCTGCAAATCAACTCCACCAAAGACCTCTAACAAGGAAATATAGTGTTATCACACACAAGAATCCTCAACTACCATTATTAAGCAAGAAATTTTGAGTTCATCAATTGAAAAAGTAGGAGATCAAACCATCAACCGTTAGAATGTTAATAAATGCCTTATCCATAGAGCGAACGTAGACCCACAAGATGTATAATTAAAACACATAATGGGGAAGATTAAAGAATTGAGCATGCACACCTCTAACTTAGTTCTCAGCTTATCATGGCCTTTCAATAGAAGATTCACTGGAATGAATGTTGAAAGGAAAATTATCCATCCTATTGTCAATATGAGAACCCTGCACCATGAGCTCAACAACACTTAGACAAAGAAATGAAAGTTATACTAAGAACCACAAGAGTTCCTAATTCCTATAACCTAAAGTGACCATATCATTTATCAGATCCATGTTGCAACACTGAGGAACTCCGTTACATGATTTCTTCTTCATATAGATAGATATAGGATCTATGGAGCAATTACTAAAAGGTACATTTTGTGCAACAGCCCTTCCTATCTGATGAAAAGGATCCCATGATCCTAAACTGATCTTACTTGGGATCGCAAATCCCAAGTTTATCTATGAAGAGCATATCTAATTATATTAGTGTTTATAATTGATCTCGTCTACATAATACTAATCGATACGGAGCTAACCTCGCCGGGAAGAGAATCAGATACCGAACCACGACTCCACAGCACCACAGAGGGAACAGATAAATATTCCAATTCCATGGTTCCGGTGGGTTTGATTTGAAGCACCGAGTGAACGAATCCTAAACATTCATTATCAAATAACAAATGAACAACACAAATTTATGAAGTTAAATCGAGGAGAACAACAAACGCCCTGAAAACAACAAATCCCCTTCGCTATGAACAAAAATGATAGAGAAATCGTAAACAACGAGAAGGAAAAGCTCACATCAACAATAGCACCAGCAGCCTCGGTAAGGGTAGGCGAAATATCAAGCAAATCGCGCCTAGAAACAAGTTCATAAGCTCATCAAATCAGTCGGAAATCGCAATCGAACCAATTGGAAAACTGGGAGGAATATGAAATTGAAGGAAAAAAGAGAGAGAGAGACGGGAGTAGATTACAGGCGGAGCTTGCCAGTTGGTTCTTGGATGGAGGATCCAGAAGGCAAGTAATCTTCAATATTGGGGCGATCCAAGTCCAATTCAGAGGCGGAGGATTTGAGAGAAGCAGCAGCGCCACTCATAATTGGCGGCTTTTGGGAATCTGGTCGAAATCTAGTGACGGGTTGATTTTTCATCCCTCTTGAACACTTTCATTTCCCCCCGCGCACATGCCACCAACTTCCATTCAAATGAGAATCTACCACTTACCTTATCGTTTCGACATTTTATATTCGTCTCTTTTATTTTTCTTTACGAACAAGCAATTTAAACTCTATAGACACTACAACGATTCTTCTACTGTTGAAACAATATCACTACATCGATAATTATACTTTGACGTTAAGATGAATTGGGATCTGATATTGAGATCGAGGATTGTGACTTAACCTGATCTAATCTCGAGACTGATAATCATGATATCATATTGAGATGAATGACACTTTATACTCGAGATTGAGATTAGAAATATCCATTGAACCCACAAGAGATTATTGTTTGAACGAGACGAGGCACGGAATGAAGAGAGATTTTTTTCATTTTAGCTAAATCGAGACAAGAATGGAGACTATATTCTTCGTCTCAATTCCTACCTCGACCACGCCCAAATCCCAATGCCACCACACCTTATTTTTCTTGTATAGACAATCATGCACCTTTGAGAGCATATTAAAAAGAGGGTGGAGGATGGTCTCCGAGCAGTTAGGGCAAGCTCCGAGAGGTTTAAATAGAGTCAAGGACCATCATCGAGCTTATACAATCATTGTGCAAGGTATACTTATACCGATCATATTAACGAGATGAAGTTTGATTGGTTGACTCTAACTCGTTAAATAAACATCTTTAATAATAATAATATTTTTTTAATTTCAACCATCAAACCTAAATTTATCATTACTTTTTTTTTTTTTAATTTACTTACAATATATATTTATTTTAATTTTATAACTATTTATTCTTCAACCATTTTTAAAAATATATTATTAAGTTTTTTAATGTAATTGTTAAAAATATATACTTTTAAAAATAAATAAATAATAAATATTTTACATGCTACCTACGTAAATTAATTTAATCCAAATATTTTATTAATTTTTAATCATGGTTATTTTAGGTTAAAAAAGCAAATTAAGTTTTAAAATTAAAAAACATAATTATTAGAAAAATCATTATTTTCAAAAGAAAACTCTCTCTCTTTCAAATCATATCCCTAAAATCGAAGCATGAATGCATTAAAATTTTTAAATTAATGCCTATTTTAAATAATAATAATAATAATAATAATAATAAAAAGTTTTTTAATATCCTAAATTCTAATTAATATTTAAGAGCAGCTAGAAAACTTTGTTTTTTATTTTTCTTTTTTAAAATTTTCAACGTGAATTTCTAAAATAATTACTGTTAATTTTTCTTTCCAAAATTTCAACGTGAATTTTTCTTTCCAAAGTAGTTAGTACAATACAAACTTTCACAATTCACCTATAAATATTGCTTTTTTAAATAGTTAAAACAAAATAAAAACTTTAATGCTTAATAAATAATAAAAAAAATTAAAATTAATTAATTATCATTTTCGTTCAAAAGTGTTTATATTATTTAAAAATGGGTTTAGGACGGTTAGACGAACAACTCTCTACAATGGTATAATATTGTCCACTTTGAGGATGTGAGACTTTCAAAATACGCCTCCCCTTAATCGAGGCTCGACTCATTTTTCTTTTGGAGTCTTAGTCAGAGTACATGTTAGACGAACACGACTCTCCACAATGATATGATATTGTCCACTTTGAGCATAAGCTCTCATAACTTTACTTTAGGCTTCCTCAAAAGGCCTCATTCTAGTGGAGAGAGTATTCTTTGATTATAAACCCATGAACATTCCCTAAATTAGCCGATATGAGACTTTCATCAATAAGAACAATATTGATAAAGGCAAAGCTTACTCGTGCAAGTCAGTAGAGTAAGGCTCCAACGACTTGTCTCGTAGCAAGGTCTGGGTTTAAAGCCCTAAACGGGTAAATATGTAAAGGACTTGTAGACACAAAATTAAATGTGAGTGACACGTAGAGTCAGATATTAACCCTTTAAAAGATACGTAAAAATTTATTAATCTCTCACCCTACTATATAATTATATTCAATTAATTACTCATAGGTCCTACATTATAAAGGTGGCTAGATGCTGGGTTTTGTATAGGATGCCATATTTGAACAATCCATTATATAATTTTTAATTCAAATAAGTAAATAAATAAATAAATAAATAGGTGAGAATATTCGGAAAAAGATGGCAATAAATTCAAAGCTCCTAATTTGAGCTAAAATTAAATGCTTGGTCAACCCCTTTGGTTTCACTTGTGAGCTTATTTATTTTTTAAAAGATGGTTAACTCTAATATATGAATAAACCGAGACTATATCTAAATGAGAGTGATCCCGAGAATAAGATTCTTAAAAAAGGCCGAAAAGAATTGATGTAATTATTTATATCAATAGCATGTCCGTTTTTTCTCAGTAATTCAATCATAAGAACTCCAAAATTAAAGCGTGCTTAGTGTCAAGGTTATGTTTTTTCACGACGTGTTATTTATGATTGCATGAGTTTAAGGTTTAGGTTTAGAGTGCAATTGTGACACTTAATGGACCTGTATTTTTTAAATTACATATACACATTATTATTATTTTACACGAAGCTACTTATAAATTAATTTCATATTATTTTTGGATCAATGATCAAATAAAAACAAAATTTAAAATTTAAATTTTAAGTTTTAAGGACTAACGTTGGAAAGATGACGGTTTAAATTGTGGCAGCTAATTATTTGACAAATAAATAAATAGAGCTTCAAATATATGTAATGACGAGAATTTTTAGAATTTTTTGTTTGTATATGATCGCATGATTAGTTGGATACGAGATATTGAGTTGATAAATATTAAACGACTAAAATTATTTTTAATAAAAAATATACATTTTAAAAACTTTAAGTAAATATTTTATTATTAATTTTTTAATGTATTATTAATGTTAAGTAACGGAAAATAAATAAAATTTATGGAAATAAAAAATCATAGGGCCCACATAAATAACGATAATTTTTATTTAATTACACCAAAAAAGAAAAAGTTAAAAGAAAATAAAAACGGTTCTTTAACAGGAAGGGCATTTTCGGAATTTCAAGGGACGCCAAAATTTTTCTCTGGAACCAAACACCCAATTCCTCTGTTTTCTCGCCCCCCATTTTCCTGCTGCACTAGCCAGCCTAAGCTCACACAACTTTACTAGCTATGGAAGAACTCTTTGGACTGAAGAATATTTGGATAATTTGATTGAAAATTCGAAATCCCGCAAAAGCAAAAGTTGGGTAAAGAAAAGGGGAAAAGGAAAAAGGGATTACGGATTTGTTGCGTTATATTATAGCCCTGAATTGTGAATTCTGATCATCTCTGATTGTTCTTCATGTTCTTCATGTTCTTGTTCTTGTTCTTGTTCTTCATTGTGGCTGTTGTTAGAATTGGTCAATCCATTAGAATAGCTTGAAGTTAGTCATGCCATAAGAATAGGCTTACTTCGTTAGTTTCCTATGAAATCGGATCTATTAGTTAATCTTTTGCCAATATAAATAGAATATGTCCTCAATAGTGTGAGACACAGTTTTGCATAAACTTGATATGGTATCAGAGCAGAAATAAGATCCACGAGATCCATAGCCTCTGCTGTTAAACATGTCAATCCCAACAAACACAATGTCTTCTCCGTCGATCAGTCAGGTGATTAGTGTTAAGCTTACACAAGAAAATTATCTACTGTGGTCTACCCAAATCCTTCCCTACTTGCGTAGCCAAAACCTTGTTGGTTTTGTGGATGGATCCATGCCTGCACCAAGCCAGACGATCGCCGTTGAACCAAGTGAAGAAACAGGGAATCGCAAAATTATCATCAACCCTGAGTTCACAGTCTGGTACCCCCAGGACCAGCTGGTACTCAGCCTCATCAACTCATCAGTCACTGAGGAGGTTCTCAGCACGATGGTTGGAATCACCACTGCACGAGAAGCCTGGATTACGCTGGAGCGACAATTTGCTTCCACATCTCGAGCAAGAGCAATGCAGATCCGTATGGAACTCTCTACTATCCAGAAAAAGGACATGACAATTGCTGACTACTTTCGTAAAGTAAAACATCTTGGTGATACACTTGCTGCCATTGGCAAGCGAATAGAGGATGAAGAACTCATCGCCTACATGCTGCAAGGACTTGGTCCAGATTATGATCCTCTAGTCACAAGCATTACAACCAGAACAGATGTATACACTGTCAGCGACGTGTATGCTCACATGCTGAGCTATGAGATGCGGCACTTGCGTAAGGGTACATTTGAGCAACTTTCATCTGCTAACAATGTCAATAGGATATCCATTCGTGGAGGTGCCAATGGAGATCGAGGTAGTCGCGGTCGTAGTCGTCAGTTAAATAGTGGTCATGGACAATCAAGGCGTACTGTGAACAATCCTGGACGTCAACCATCAAAGACACAAAGCAGCTCAGGCATTGTCTGTCAGATTTGTGGTAAGCCCAATCACGATGCTTTGCAATGCTGGCACAGATTTGATCAGGCATATCAAGCCGAAAATAATCTCAAACAAGCAGCTTTGGCAACTAGTGGATACACTAGTGACACAAACTGGTATGTTGACACTGGAGCCACAGATCATATCACCAATGACCTAGAGAGGCTTACCACCAGAGAACGCTACACTGGCACCGACCAAATTCAGGTTGCAAATGGCGCAGGTTTGTCTATCTCTCATATTGGGAATTCATTAATTTCTGGTTCATCTCTTGTTCTGAAACATATCCTATATGCTCCTAAAATCAATAAGCACCTAATTTCAGTACAAAGACTAGCATCTGATAATAATGCTGTTGTAGAATTTCACCCAAACTATTTTTTGGTTAAGGACCGAGTCACGAAGAAACTCCTGCTCCACGGTAGATGTAAGAATGGCCTATACGTTCTACCGCATAATTTCAGTCAAGCCTTGCTGACAGCCAAACTTTCGAAAGAACAATGGCACAGAAGGCTAGGGCACCCTGCATCTCCAATTACCATTAGAATTCTACAAGATAATAATTTAGCTATAGATACTAATATTCCCTCTTCCTCAATTTGTAATGCTTGTCAATTAGGGAAAGCACATCAATTGCCATTTGGTTCTTCTCAGCATGTATCTACAGCACCCCTTCAATTAATTCACACTGATGTATGGGGTCCATCCATTGCGTCAGTAAATAATTCCAAATATTATGTTTCCTTTGTTGATGATTTTAGTCGTTATGTTTGGATTTACTTTCTGAGATGCAAATCTGATGTTGAGTCTGTGTTCCTTCAATTTCAAAAACATGTTGAAACTATGCTAAATACCAAAATTCGCTCCGTCCAATCAGATTGGGGGGGTGAATACCATCGGTTACACAATTATTTCAAATCCACAGGCATTGAACATCATATCTCCTGTCCTCACACACACCAGCAGAATGGGTTAGTCGAAAGAAAACACAGACACATTGTAGAAACTGGCCTTGCTTTACTCGCTCAAGCCAACATGCCTCTATCCTACTGGGATGAAGCTTTCAACACAGCTTGCTTTCTTATAAATAGAATGCCCAGCCGAACCATACAACAAGACACACCACTTCATAAATTGTTTGGTAAAAGTCCAGACTACTCCATGCTTAGGGTGTTTGGCTGTGCTTGCTGGCCTAATTTAAGGCCTTACAACAACAAGAAACTGAGTTTCAGAACTACTAGATGTATATTCTTGGGTTATAGTTCTTCTCATAAGGGATATAAATGCTTAAATAGAAGTACAGGACGTATTTACATCTCTAGAGACGTGGTTTTCGATGAAAATATTTTTCCTTTTGAAGAATCTAAGCCACCAAACAAAACCACAAATCCACATCATCCTGTTCTACTTCCAGCCTTAGCCAAACTTGCTAGTTTTTACACTGAAAATGCTCTTACAGATATTGAACCAGTTGTTAGTAATTCCCATATGAATGATGGTCAAACTGATAATATTGCTAGTGACAACTTGTCTGGTGTCAGCTTATCTTCTGCAGATAATACAAGAAGTTCAGAGGAAATTGCAGAATATGAAGCTGAGAGCAGTTCGATCAATGCTCAAAACCAAACTCATGAACATGTGTCTGATCAACCAACTGAAGCAGCTAGTCAACATCCAATGCGAACAAGGTTGAGAAATAACATTGTACAAGCTAAACAATTCACTGATGGAACTATCAGATATTCAGAAACCTCAAGAAAATTCGCAAGCGCTGTAACTATCACAACTCCGATCATAGAGACTGCTACTGAACCTCGAAACCTGCAGGAAGCCATGCAACATCCAAGATGGAGAGGAGCAATGAATGATGAGCTCTCAGCGCTAAAACGAAATGCCACTTGGGATCTAGTTCCACCCAAACCTGGAATAAATCTCATTGATAGTAAATGGGTGTATAAAGTGAAAAGAAAAGCAGATGGGTCAGTTGAAAGATTAAAAGCAAGATTAGTTGCCAAAGGATTCAAGCAAAGATTTGGTGTTGATTACACTGATACTTTTAGCCCTGTGATCAAACCGTCAACAATCAGGGTCATTCTTTCGCTAGCAGTAACCAAGGGCTGGAATATGAGACAAGTTGATATCCAAAATGCATTTTTGCATGGAATTCTGAAAGAGGAAGTGTACATGCGACAACCACCAGGATTTCAAGACTCAGCCAAACCAAAGAATTACATATGCAAGCTCAAGAAAGCCCTTTATGGCCTGAAACAAGCCCCAAAAGCTTGGCATTCAAGGTTGACTGGAAAACTTATTGAGTTAGGCTTCAAGGCTTCAGTAGCTGATTCATCTCTTTTTATTCTCAAAAACAGAGAGATAACTATCTATATGCTCATCTATGTTGATGATATAATTATTGTGAGCTCCTCTGATCAAGCAACCGAAAGGTTGATTCAGAAATTGAAAATAGATTTTGCAGTAAAAGATTTGGGTGATCTTGAGTATTTTCTGGGTATTGAAGTCAAGAAAACACGAGATGGTATCATACTGTCACAGAGACGATATGCTTTAGATTTGTTGAAAAGAGTAAACATGGAAAAATGCAAACCTATGTCTACACCAATGGGTTCTGCTGAAAAATTATTCAGAGAACAAGGAATACCCTTATCAGCTGAAGAACAATTCAAATACAGAAGTACAGTGGGAGCACTACAATATTTGACAATGACTAGGCCTGATTTGGCATTTGCTGTCAATAAAGTGTGTCAATATCTTCATACACCTACTGATGCTCATTGGGGTGCTGTGAAGAGAATTCTTCGTTATGTTAAAGGCACACTAGCATTAGGAGTGAAAATTCAGAAATCAACCATGATGTTGTCGGGGTTTTCTGATGCTGATTGGGCTGGTTGTCCCGATGATCGACGTTCAACTAGCGGCTTTGCTGTATTTCTTGGAGCAAATCTAATCTCATGGAGTTCCAGAAAACAGGCTACAGTGTCAAGATCAAGCACCGAAGCAGAATACAAGGCCATTGCGAATCTTACTGCAGAAATGATTTGGATCAAGTCATTACTGAAGGAACTGGGCGTGTATCAATCAAAGGCTCCTCGCCTCTGGTGTGACAACCTCGGAGCTACATATTTAACTTCAAATCCAGTATTTCATGCTAGAACGAAACATATTGAAGTTGATTTTCATTTTGTTCGAGAACAAGTAGCACGTAAAGCAATGGAAGTTCGGTTCATTTCATCAAGTGATCAAGTAGCTGATATCCTGACAAAACCACTGTCTAAAACTCCTTTTACTACACATTGTAACAATCTCAACATGTACAAGACTTGTTGGGATTGAAGGGGACTGTTAGAATTGGTCAATCCATTAGAATAGCTTGAAGTTAGTCATGCCATAAGAATAGGCTTACTTCGTTAGTTTCCTATGAAATCGGATCTATTAGTTAATCTTTTGCCAATATAAATAGAATATGTCCTCAATAGTGTGAGACACAGTTTTGCATAAACTTGATAGCTGTGTTGTTCAATCCCATTGGAGTTTTAAAATGGGTTTCAATGGCGTTCATGGAAGCATTCACGAGAATTGATCTTTCCATTTTGGCATACACCAACGCACAAACAAAAAGCTCACTCACTCACTTTCTCTTACTGTTAGAAGCGGACGATTGACGACAAACTCTCCGCTGGCAAAAGATTCCCTCACTGCCTTCTCATTTTTTCGTTTCTTTCTTCTTCTTCTTGCCGAATCCGGATTGGGTTATGTTTTTGTCACTGACCCATTAAAGGAAAAGGGCAAAAGTTCATTTGGGTTTTGCTGGGGTTTGATTTTTTGTGGGTTTTTGTGTGTTTTGAGTTAATGGGTTTCTTTTTCTTCACCTTTTGGTGAAACCCATTTGAGTAATCTCTGGTTTGCGCCATCTACAACGCCGTGTGGATGGGCTGTTCTAGCTCAAAGGTCGATGATCTTCCGGCGGTGGCGCTCTGTCGTGAGCGTTGTGCGTTTCTAGATGAAGCGATTCATCTTAGATACTCACTTGCAGAAGCTCACATGGCGTATATTCATTCCCTTAAAGGGATTGGTCATTCATTGCATAATTTCATTGAAGAGAGTGTTGATCCAGTTGGGAATGGTGGCTCTGTTATTGATGATTCTGTCTCTCCTCCTCACCATCTCTGTCATTCCGATTCTGATGATGAATCTGGTTCTCTTCATGATTTTGATCACTCCCCTCCTTTTGTCCCGCCGCACGACGGTCATATGGGTTATATGATGCCGGAACCAGAACGTTTTGGCTCGTATCCCGGCGGCGGAAGCGGCGGTGGTGGAGGGTTTATACATATGCATTATATGAGGAAATCAGTGACACCCTCTGTTGTGTATGAACAGAGGCCTATGAGTCCGGAGAAGGTTTATCATGCCGGTGAGTCGTCTTCATTTTCAGGGCATTACCCTTATCCTTATTATGGTTATCCTCAAGACGGTGGCTATGGTTCAATGTCATCTGCCGGAGGTTCAGGCTCGTCGCCGCCGCCACCTTCACCGCCAAGGCCCTCAGCATGGGCTTTCTTGAACCCATTTGAGGCATATGAGAAGTATTATAGTGCTAACACACCAAGCCAGGATTTGAAGGAGGTGAGGGAAGAAGAGGGGATTCCTGAATTGGAAGATGAGTGTAACCAACATGAGGTTGTTAAGGAGGTACATGGAAGCCCGAAATTCACCGACGATGGCGGTGGAATGGGCTCGAAGATAGCTGCAGGAGATGAGCATGGTGGTGATGATACAAACGCCATGCTTTCCCAATCAAGGCCTAGCACTGCAGCTGAGGATGATGCTGTTAAATGTGAACTCCACCAGAGCAAGCCTGGTTCACAAGAGGTCTATGAGGTTGCTAGAGAAATTGAGGCTCAGTTCGAGAGGGCGTCGGAGTCTGGTTACGAAACGGCGAAAATGCTGGAGGCTGGGAAGCTTCCCTATCAGCAGAAACATGGTGAGTATCATATAGCTCAGATCCATTAGAATTCTGGCTACTTACAAGCAATGTGTTTATGTAGAATGAAACTTGGAACATTTTGGATTACTTTTGCTTGTTCTTGTCTAATTTTTAGATGGCTATTTGTTCTTAAACTGGGTTTCTGCTCTTGTTACCTCTTTTAACTCGCAGTTTCGTCGAAAAACTCGCATGTTCATGTTGCTCCTTCGGTTTCGAAGAGCGTCGATCCTTCAACTTCTTCTGCTGAATTTGGTTACATTGAAGAGTTTGGGATGGCCTCTGGGAATCTGTCTTCTACGTTAAGGAAGTTGCATCTTTGGGAGAAGAAACTCTACAATGAAGTTAAGGTATGATATACTACACTGCCATTTGGGTGCCTCACAAAGCTTTTGAAACCGTGAGGCTAACAACGATACGTAATGTGCCATAACGGACAATATCAGCTAGCGGTGAGCTTGAACTGTTACAAATAGTATTAGAGACAGACACCGAGTGGTGTGCCAGCGAGGCCGCTGGGACTCCTACGGAGTGGATTGTGAGATCCCATATGGGTTGGAGAGGGGAACAAAGCATTCCTTATAAGGGTGTGGAAACCTCTGCCTAGTAGATGTGTTTTAAAACAGTGAGACTAACGACGTAAAGTAACGGACCAAAGTGAACAATATTTGCTAGCGGTGGGCTAGGGCTGTTACAAATGGTATTAGAGCCCGAGCGATGTTCTAGCGAGGACGTTGGGCCCCCAAGGGAGTGGATTGTGAGATCCCACATTGGTTGGAGGGTGGAACGAAACATTCCTTATAAGGGTGTGGAAACATCTCCCTAGTGGACGCATTTTAAAACTGTGAGGCTGACGACGATACGTAATGGGCCAAAGCGGACAATATCTACTAACAGTGGACTTAGAATTGTTACAAATGATATCAGAGCCCGACACTGAACGGTGTGCCAGCGAGGATGCTGGGCCTCCAAGTGGGTAGATTATGAGATTCCACATTGGTTGGAGATGAGAACGAAGCATTCCTTATAAGGGTGTGGAAACCTCTCCCTAGTAGATGCGTTTTAAAACCGTGAGGCTGACGATGATATGTAACGGACCAAAGCGGACAACTTTATCAAAAGTTTATGCTCAAAATTTCTGTGGTTAAATCTTGTAAGGCGGAAGAAAAGATGCGGGTAGTTCACGAGAGGAAGTATCGAAAGCTGAAGCGCTTAGATGAGAAGGGTGCAGAAGCTCATGAAGTTGATACCACTCGAACTTCAGTGAGGAGCCTATCTACCAAGATAAGAGTAGCCATTCAGGTGGTTGACAAGATATCCATGACAATAAACAAGATCAGGGAAGAAGAATTATGGCCACAACTGAATGAACTAATTCACAGGTAAGTCTAATTCCTCTATCGAAACGAAGTTATGTTCCTTGGTTCATTTCTTCGATGATACATGTCAATTACTGTTATTTCAGATTAGCTAGGATGTGGCAGTCTATGCTCGAATGCCATCGTGCTCAGTACAAAGCGATCAGTGAATCAAAAAGTTTCGGTATGATCGGATCGGGTAAATGTAACGATAGCGAAGCTCATCTCGAAGCAACCAAGGAGCTTGAGCATGAGCTTCTAAACTGGACAATCAGCTTCTCTAGTTGGATCAGTGCACAAAAGGGGTATGTTAGAGTCTTGAATAATTGGCTTCTGAAGTGTCTTCTGTATGAACCTGAGGACACACCGGACGGTTTAGCTCCCTTCTCACCGGGACGAATTGGTGCACCCCTGGTGTTTGTGATCTGTAACCAGTGGTCACAGGCTTTGGATAGCGTATCCGAGAAGGAAGTGATCGATTCTATGCGCGTGTTTAGTACGAGGATGCTTCAAATTTGGGAACATGATAAGCTAATAACGCGACAGAGAATGATGGCAAAGGTTCGAAACTTCGACCGAGATGACCAAAAGATTCAGAAACAGATTCAGGCATTGGACAAGAAGACGTTGATGGTTTCGAGAGATGAAAAACGTCTCTCAGCTTCTGGAAATGCTGTGTATCAAAATGAGATGAGCCATGTTAGCCTGCAATCGAGTGTGCAATGCCTTTTCGAGGCGATGGAGAGGTTCACTGCAGATTCGATGAAAGTGTATGAAGAGCTTTTACGACGAACCGAGGAAGAACGATTGAATCGGGAGCTGGAAAGAGTCCTATGAGTGTATGAAACTCTGCTTATTTGTTGTTCCAAATGTTCAAGAAATGAAACTTTTCAGCTCAGTCACAGAGCTAGCCTCCTGCTAAGCTACACAGCAGCCATTACGACCCGAGTTCGACTGTTCGATATCTGATTGTTCCAGTGAGTTATAACTCAAATGCTCGGGATGCCTTCATTGTCGGGTGCGAGCGGAGTCGAATGAAAAGCCTTGTTCAATGGAAAGCTTGTTGAATGGACAGAAATTGAGTAAAAGTAGAGCATTTCTCAAAGTGATTTCACTGATGGTTGCCTTTTCCAACTAGCCGTAGCTGTAATGGTTCGGAGAATCTCGATAGTAGTTTCATGGATTTGTGTTACGAGTAATTCGTGTAAAAGTTCGTAATAGTCGTTAGTTTGCTGCTTTTGAAGAGTTTTTCCTCTGCTCGATTAATCCGGCATGGACTATATGAGCGAAGTAATTTATCGGATAAGTTGATTTGTTGGGCATTTTTGATTCACCAAATTGATTGTCTCTTGCTTTGAGTTTTCCTCAAAATAGCTTCCGCCTTTTTTAAGAGTTTGATGCGCTTTTTGTAGATCAATATCACTGATATAGATGTCCATGTCCATGGGACAGGGCAGGGACGGGAAAGTCATTCCTGTTACCTGTTTCATTTCCGGTTCCCGCGAAATTCCTCATTTATTTTTGAATCAGGGTGGTGAGTGAGGATATTGTTGTTTTTAAAAAATAGTTATGGTAAAGTTTTCATTTTCTTCCATATACTTTGATTAAAAATTTGTAAAAAAATCATAATAAATACAGTGGCACGTGCAATTTAAATATCTAAGCATAGTGAAAAGCAAACAAACGTTGTCGTCTTAGGTAGGTAAGATCTTGGTTTGGTTTTTTTTCCTATTAATCATAAATAATAGTGACATTTATTTGAAACATGAATGTCTGAAGCTAGAACTAAATATTAGTCCTAACAAAATAAGTGATATATTAGAATCTCCGAAAAATCTTTTAAAGATATTAAAAAAAAGAAATGTACGATTAATTCGTAAATCGCATCATTTTCTAAAATTTTTCGTTGAAAACATATACATAGCTATCTTTCAACGTATTATGAATATCCCGAGGATTAATGGTCAACTTTTTATTGATTCAATAAAAAAAAAAATGACTAAATCCATTTCCAATAATGAAGCAAATCAAGAAAGAATTGATAAAACAAATCAAAGTTTCATTTACTTTATTTCAACTATAAAAAAGTCACTTTCCAATATTAGTAATAAGAATAGAAAGGTCTTTGGGGACTTATCATACTTGTCACAAGCCAGGAGGTGGGCTTGGAAGCAGCCATCCTTTGAAGAAAGCGTAATAGCTCACTGGTCTAGCTCCATGGCACCGAAAATGTATCAGGGCTCAAGTGATTCACCGAAGCGACGAGACCTTGAAAGCAGCTTTTTCAAGTGTCAGTAGCGGGAACAAAAAATATGCTGATTCGGATTGGGTATATTATATTTAATTTATAACGGAACCCCCGCCCTTAACCCATTAACGAAAAAGAAAAAATAAAAAGATAAGGCCATTCCATTTCGACAAAAGACCCACACCCAAGTTCCATAGCTTTGGGTCCACTATCCCGATCATGATTTTCCTACCCCAGAGGGAAAATTCCTTCCCTTTTTGGCCGGTTGTGGGTGAGGAGGGATTCGAACCCCCGACACCGCGGTTCGTAGCCACGTGCTCTAATCCTCTGAGCTACAGGCCCCACCCCGTCTCCACTGGATCTGTTCCCGGGGTACCCTAAAAAAAGGAACCTTTCCTCTCCCCAGCCATTTGCCATTTCGGGTTAAGAAGATGTGAAAGCGCCTCTCTCTCTATAAGAACCGTGCATTCCAAGGTGTGAAATGAGAGAGAAAAGTGGGAGAGAAGGAGTTTTGAATAAGACGACCTTTTCATTTTTTTTTTCCGTCTAGCACGATTATATTTAGATACGTCTATTTAATTCGTTGGGATCCGCTCCAAACGGGTGGAGAATTCTCATTTAATGAACAATGAGATTATATTCCTTACTCCGACTTCGACCGGCCAAATCCCTGATCGTATTTAGAAATTATGTTTAAAAAAAGATCCCCGAAGGGAACTTGATCCCAGCTAATTCACCCTTCTCAATCCCAAAAATAAATGGAGAATTTTGTAGCGACGAGGATTGAAATAGGAGGCGTCGTCGTTTCCGTCCCGCCCTGCAGACATACCTAATTATATCGATAGGATTTTTTTGGGATAAAGTCCAAAATAATATGAATTTAATTTTATTTCAAAAGTGAATAACACCTAATTCGGAACGTAGTTTAAATTTACCCATATCAAACAAAACTAATCCGAGCAATGTCATGGTTGTAAAAAAAACTCTAAGTCATATTTTTTTTCATTCGACGATCCTTACATCTCTGGCTATATGACTATGTTATCTACTTATCGCTTCTAAGAGTCAAGACTATCTCACACATGTGCTTCCTATGAAAATTTTTAAAAGGTCACTCGACATAGAATTGCTTCAAGCTAAGCACGCTTAATTTTGAAGCTCTTATGATTGAGCCACTGAAAATGAAAGTGCATATACATAGTACTTTCAATTTTTTTAAACCTTAACCATCGTATTCTTAAGATCACTCTTATTCAGTTATGGTATCGATTCATTCATGTACCTCTTTTTTACTCATGCTCCACATTAAGATTTGTGCATTTACATTATCTTAGCTCAATGGTTGTATAAAATCAAGAATTAGCTATATTTTGGAGAAGTGGTGTAACAATCCAAGTCCTCCGCTAGCAGATATTGTCTACTTTGGTCTGTTACGTATCGCTATTAGCTTCATAGTTTTAAAATGCGTCTACTAGAGAGAGGTTTCCACACCTTTATATGAAATGGTACATTTCCCCTCTCCAATTAATGTGGGATCTCACAATTCATCTTCCTTAAGAGTCCAGCGTCCAGCCCACTGCTAGCAGATATTGTCTGCGTTGGACCGTTACGTATTATCGTTAACCTCACGATTTTAAAACGCGTTTACTAGGAAGAAGTTTCCACACCCTTATAAGGAATATTTTGTTCCCCTCTCCAACCGATATGGGATCTCACAATCCACCCCGTAGGGGCCCAATGTCCTCACTGGCACACTGCTCGGTGCCTTAGTCTAATACCATTTGTAACAGCCCAAGCCCACCTCTAGAAAATATTGTCCACTTTAGCCCATTACATATCATCGTCAATCTCACAGTTTTGAAACACGTCTGTTAGGGAGAGGTTTCTACACCCTTATAAGGACTGCTTCATTCTCCTCTCCAACCGATGTGGAATCTCAAAATCCACCTCCCTTGGGAGCCAGCATTCTCGCTGGCATACTACCTAGTGGCATAGCTCTGATACTTTGTAACATTCCAAGCCCAACCCCTTTATAAACTAAGAAATGATGAAGGAACAGCAAGATATTACATATTCTATTTAGCACACAACATAAAATGGCTGGAAGCTGTAGAAGACATACATGGGGTGGAGGAGACAAGCTTTTCTGCATAAGAGAACCAAGTTTCATGGCTGTCTTTCAGTAAACTAATACCCCTTCTAAACAAAACCACATATCATAACCCTCATTATAGTATCAAATGCATGAATATGGGTACAAAAATGATACAAAAACAGGCCAGCTTTGGCATTGGTAGAAGGGAGACATAGCAAAAACACAGCTGATATGATGTTTCAGATCCGTATTACAATCATAAAGCTTCAAGATTCTGTTTTATTTCTTCATCTCTTCAATAATGTTCTTGAGGTTCCTTCTGTCCCCTTTCCCTTAGCTATATATAAACTCCCCTCATCCCACAAAAAGGATCATAAACTAAACTTCCTCAAAGCTTCCAATCAACAAAAAAAAAGATGCATATTCGCTCGAACAGCTTGCCATCCAAGCCCCACCCGTTCATCGATCAAGTCGACGAGCGTTTAAGCAGCTTGAACAAGGCCACCTCAGAAGCAACATCATCTGAGCTATGCCATAAACTAAATGGCCTTCAAGATGTGCATCATTGTATTGATAAGCTACTTATGTTGCCTCTCACTCAACATGATATCATTGAAGAGAGCGATAAGAACTCGATCGACGAGTTACTCGAAGGATCTATCAGGCTCTTGGATTTGTGTGACATAGCCAAGGATGCCTTGTTGCAGACAAAAGAATGTGTGAATGAACTCGAGTCGGTTTTACGCCGAAGAAAAGGCAAAATGTTCATAGCAAGTGAGCTACAGAAATGCTTAAGTTCTAGGAAGTTAATAAAGAAAACAATCTACAAAGTCTTGAAGGCAAATGAAAGCAAAGTTTGTGAGAAAAGTGAAGCCACTCCTGCCATTGTTAGCTCATTGAAACGAGCCGAAGTAGTCGGTCATAACGTCGTCGAAGCCTTGTTGTCTTTCGTGGCAGGACCGAAGTTTCCATCGAGTTCGAGCCGGTGGTCTATAGTTTCCAAGCTTGTGCAACCCAAAAGGGTAGCCTGTGAAGGTGAAGAAACAAGAAGAAACGAAGTGGCATTGGTGGATGCTGCATTACATTCAATTACAAGTCAAAAATCAAAGAAATTTGATTTCTTTGTTCAAGTTGAGAACTTGCAGAGCTCATTGAAGACATTTGGTTCAAACATTGAAGAACTTGAAGGTGATCTTGAGGCTCTATATAGGCGCCTAATTAAAACTAGAGTATCACTTCTCAACATCTTCAACCATTAAGCTACAGATTTCATACAATAGTAGTGTCATGGCCAATCCCATGAGTACCCATTTTTGTAGATTGTAAAAAAAACATAGTAAATATACAAACTTTTCTCTCAAATTATGGCTTCTCCATGATCTTCTTGGTCTCTAATTTTTTCATCCCACGTCGGTTGGAGAGGAGAACGAAGCATTCTTCGTAAGGGTGTGGAAACCTCTCCCTAGTAAACGTGTTATAAAACCATGAGACTGACGACAATACGTAACGGGTGAAAGTGGATAATATCTACTAGCAGTGGACTTGGATTGTTACAAATGGTATCAGAGCCAGATACTGGGTGGTGTGCCAGCGAGGACGCTGGGCCCTCAAGCGGGGTGGATTGTGAGATCCCACATCGGTTGGAGAGGAGAATGAAGCATTCTTCATAAGGGCGTTATAAAACCGTGAGGCTGATGACAGTACGTAATGAACCAAAGTGGATAATATTTGCTGCTATCAACTATCAGTATCAATTCTCTATCCATCAAACTGTTATAACTTTAACTGTTCCAAGACTAATGAACTTGTATAGAAGAAAAAGAAGTGAAAGAAAAGTCATAAAAATAGTAATCATTAAGTAACTTTTTCCTACGGCTAAAGTTTTGGTGAAATCATTGTTTGATTGGTCAACTAATGATGAAATTTAGGTACCTTGAATCAGCATCATTGACAACTATTAAGATTCTAATTGTCTCAACAATGGCATAAAAAATT